TCCTTGCGTCGAGGGGCGGCAGCGCGCCGCTCCTCACTCCTCCGAGTTTCCTCCGACCACTGCTCCTCTGCAGACTCTCCACATGGATGTGTGGGGCCCGGCCCCCGTCGGTGGAACGGACCAGGAGCGCTACTTCCTGCTGGTGGTTGACGACTACACACGCTACACCACAGTCTTCCCCTTGCGGCGCAAGGCGGATGCCAGTGGTGTCTTGATCCCCTGGATCCGTGCTACTCGTCACCAGCTGCGCGAGCGGTTTCGGCGGGACTTTCCAGTCCTGCGTCTGCACTCTGACAGGGGTGGTGAGTTCTCCTCTGGCGTCCTTGAGACGTTCTGCATAAGGGCATCGCCCAGTCGTTCACGCTTCCGGCCTCTCCGCAGCAAAATGGGATCGCTGAGCGTCGCATTGGCCTGATCATGGAGGTTGCTCGTACCTCCATGATCCATGCGGCTGCTCCCCATTTCCTGTGGCCGTTTGCGGTCCGATACGCCGCGCATCAGCTCAACCCCTGGCCCCGTGTCTCTGCTCCAGAGACCTCGCCCACACTCCGTTGGACGGGACAGCCTGGTGATGCGTCGTCGTTTCGGGTCTGGGGCGCGCTCTCCCTTGTTCGCGATACCAAAGCGAGCAAGCTCTCCCCTCGCACTCTCCGCTGTGTCTTCCTCGGCTTCCCCACCGACGCTCCACCCTGGCAGCTCTACCACCCTGCCTCGCGTCGTGTTCTGTCCTCTCAGGACGTCACCTTCGACGAGTCGGTCTGTTACTACCGACTTCACCCGCACGCGTCCCACCCGGTCCCTCTCGCGCCTCTCTTCCTGGTACCAGTCCCCCCCCCGGTAGACCCCCTTCCCCCACAGGGTCCTGCTCCCTCAGGTGTGTCCCAGGTAGACCCACCCCCCTTGGATGAGCCAGTTGAGATCTCTTCTGACTCCTCTGACTCACCTGAGGGGGGTGACGCCGTCGCCGACGACACGGCGACCACTCGCCGCACTCCTCGCTTGGAGACCCCCCCGGGTTTCCCGCCACGGCCGTCTTCGCCGCCTCCGCAGCCTGCTGCTGTGGACTCTGGAGCTGAGACTACTGGAGCTGGGGCTGGGGGTGGTGAGTCCGGGGGTGCCCGCTCTCCTTGTCTGGCTACACCCCCCGGGTTCCCACCTCTGCCGTCTTCGCCGCCTCTGCAGCCTGCTGCTGTGGACACTGGAGCAGAGACTGAGGGTACTGAGCCTGGGGGTGCTGGGACTGAGGGTACTGAGCCTGGGGGTGCTGGGACTGAGGGTACTGGACCTGAGGGTGCTGCGACTGAGGGTACTGAGCCTGCGAGTGCTGAGACCGAGGGTCCTGCCTCTGGGGGTACTACGAGTTCGGGTGCTGACTCTGGGGGTGCTGCGAGTCCTTCTGGTGTTGGTGTCGTCGGAGCTCCTACCGGAGGACCTGGAGCTACTGGTGCGGGAGGTACTGGAGGTACTGCTGATGCTGGAGGTCCTGGAGGTGCTGCTGGTGCTGGAGGTCCTGGAGGTGCTGGAGGTACTGGAGGTGCTGCTGGTGCTGGAGGTCGGGGAGCTGCAGGTGCTGCTGGTCCTGGTGGAGCTGCTGGTGCTGGAGGTACTGGAGGTGCTGCTGGTGCTGGAGGTCGTGGAGCTGCTGGTGCTGGAGGTACTGGAGGTACTGCTGGTGCTGGAGGTCGTGGAGCTGCTGGAGCTGCTGGTGCTGGAGGAGCTGGAGCTGCTGGGACTGGAGGTCCTGGAGGTGCTGGAGGTCCTGGTGGAGCTACTGGTGCTCTTCGCCACCTTCTCAGTCTTCAGCCAGGTGCTACTGGCTTCCCTGTGGAAGGTACTACTCCTCCGTTGCTGTGTCCACCGGCGGACCAGTCACAGCCGCCGCTGCTACCACACTCCCCACTGCCTGCTCTTGCTCCTTACACTGCGGTGTCAGAGTCCCTGACTGAGCGTCGAGAGCCTGAGACTCGTGCTTCCACCCCTGAGCGTCGAGAGCCTGAGTCTAGCTTTGACCTTGAGCCTGAGCCTAGAGCTGCTGTCCGTGCTCGTGTTCCTCGTGTTCGTCGTCAGCGTGCTCCGGCTGTCCCCGGCACTCACGATATGACACTCCGTCCTTCCTCTGTTCCTCAGCGTGTTGTCCTACCGTTACCTCCAGCGTCCTCTTTGCCTGACGTTGCTGACCCTCCGTCTGACCTTGCTCGTGCGTCCAGTCCGACTGTTACTCGCCTTCTTGCTACGGTTGTGACGGACCCTACGTTCTCGTCTCCTGCTGCGTCTGCCCTAGTAGCTGAGCTCGTTGACTTTGCTGCTGTGTACCGCCTCGACTACCTTGCGAGTCTTGTCTCTGACCCTGTCCCTGCCTGTCCTCCGTCCGTCGGGGGTGAGACTGCTCTTGGCTGCACTGCCCTTGGCTGTGACGTTCTTGAGGACAGACAGGAGGAGCTGGAGTGCCTTGCTGCCGCTTCACCCCATCACGCGACCATGCTGCTTGCCCCTGAGGGAGACCCGGATGCACTTGACATCCCCACCCCGCGCTCCTACAGGGAGGCGATTTCGGGTGAGTACTCCTCTCAGTGGCAGACAGCCATGGACGCAGAGATGGCTTCCTGGAAGTCCACAGGCACCTACGTCGACGAGGTTCCCCCACCTGGGGCGAACATCGTCAGTGGCATGTGGATTTTCAGGGTGAAGCGGCCGCCGGGTTCTCCGCCTGCCTTCAAGGCACGTTACGTTGCTCGAGGCTTCAGTCAGCGTGAGGGGGTCGACTTCTTTCAGACCTTCTCTCCCACCCCGAAGATGACCACTCTTCGGGTGTTGCTACACGTTGCAGCTCAGCGTGACTACGAGCTGCACTCCCTCGACTTCTCGACAGCTTTCTTGCAGGGTAGCCTTCACGAGGCCATCTGGTTGCGCCGTCCACAGGGCTTCACTGGGTCGTTTCCTGAGGGTACCCAGTAGAGCCTACGGCGACCAGTGTACGGCTTGCATCAGGCGCCCCGCGAGTGGCACGACACACTGAGGACGACACTTGCGGCTCTTGGGTTTGCTCCTTCGACTGCTGACCCGTCGCTGTTTCTACGCACCGACACTACTCTGCCGCCGTTCTACATCCTCGTGTACGTCGACGACTTGGTTTTTGCTACTGCTGACACTGAGGCACTGGCCCTAGTGAAGGCGGAGCTGCAGGAGAGACACACCTGCACTGACCTGGGTGAGCTGCGGAGCTATCTTGGCTTGCAGATCACCCGGGACAGACCACGGCGCACCATCACCCTGACTCAGTCACACATGGTGCACCAGGTCCTACAGCGCTTCCGCTTCACGTACTCCTCGCCACAGCCCACTCCTCTGGCTACCGGCCACTCGCTCTCAGCTCCACCTTCGGACGAGTCCGTAGAGCCGAGTGGTCCGTACCCAGAGCTTGTGGGCTGCCTCATGTACCTGATGACGTGCACACGACCTGACCTCGCGTACCCTCTCAGCCTTCTGGCTCGCTACGTGGCACCCGGTAGGCACCGAAAAGTGCACTTTGATGCTGCGAAGAGGGTACTGCGTTACTTGTGCAGCACATCGGGCATGGGGCTCGTGCTTGGAGGACGGGGTTCGGTGGACCTCACAGGACACTCTGACGCCTCTTGGGCCGACGACCAGGCGACTCAGCGTTCGTCACAGGGCTACACCTTCAGTCTTGGCGCTGGTTCTGTCTCGTGGAGGTCCACTCGTTCTTCTTCTGTGCTTGGTTCCAGTTGTGAGGCCGAGATCTACGCTGGGGCCATGGCTGCACAGGAGCTCCGCTGGCTGACCTACCTGCTGACCGACTTGGGGGAGCGGCCTCGTTCTCCTCCAGTTCTGTACGTCGACAACAAGGCAATGCTTGCCTTGTGTCGCGAGCAGAGACTGGAGCACAGAACGAAGCACATTGCTCTGCGTTACTTCCTTGCGCGTGAGCTGCAGCAGCGTGGTCAGCTGCGCCTTGCTTTCGTGGCCTCTCGGGCCAACACTGCTGATGTCTTCACCAAGGCCCTTGGGGCTGGTGATCATCAGCGTTTCTGCACTGCTCTTGGGCTTGTGCCCACTCTGCCTCACCTGCTGGTTGCTTGACTTGCTCTTGTTATACACTGCTATATATATCTTTATACCTGCATGTTTACTGCCTTGCTATTATAAATCTGCATGTGAACTGGCCTTGTGGCCGCCTGCTTGTGCTCAGATTGTGTGGTGTCCTTGAGATCCACCCTGGGCTTTGCCTTGCTTGTTCTGTTGCTTGACTGGTCTTGTGACCACTGTTAGGTTTGGCTATCCCCTACTTCACCTATGGGGGTGTGTCAAAACATATTGTTATGTTCTTACTCTAGGTTGTGTAGGGTCACACCTTAGAGGGTACAACCCAACTCTCTCGACACTCTTGTACCCCCTCTCCCTCACCTAATCATCATTCCTCACCTAGCTACTAGTGATTCTAACACTTAGTCCAGTGGAAGTATGTTTCTGGTTGCAGCAGACGGTCACAGCTGCTAGTGTGTCACTCCAACGTTTTGACATCTTGCCCTCAGCCACTGTTCTGCCTGTCCTGCACTCCAGCTGCTAGATAGTGAACCTCTTGTAGTTATAAATTTTGGCTTTAGAAGTGTGTGTCCTGCACTGTGGCTCACCTCATCGTATACAGCGTTGGCCTCAAACATCCGGGTCCCATAATTTATAATATTTTCTCTAACTCCTAGACTACATTTGTTCATATTATGGCGCCAGTAATGCAACCTAGCGTGTACACCCAAGCGTCGGGCTTGGTCCAGCAACCAATCAGTGCACGGTCCGTTTCAGGAATTCGCGTTTCTCTTCCACCTCGTTCTACGAAAATCGTATACACTCTCTCCATTCCTTCAAACTCCACGACGGATCTTCGCACGTCCGCTAGCGCCACTTCTGCAAGCCACGTCAGCTCCACCTCAGTGTCCACGTCAGCAGCTGCTGCACCTTCCGGGAGCACCAGCGTGGCGCCGCCAATGATGTCGTCAGCGTCAGCAGTATCGCCAGCAACGGCCGCGCGCTGCCCCTTCACTGGCCGACTAGCGGCCGTCGCAACCATGGTAAGCAGAACTCCCGCGAAGACACCGAAGCGGACCTCCCGGCACCCATTCCAGGTCCCGACCCGTGTACCATGATCCGAATCAAAGCCCCACACGTTCCCCGTCCAGGGCGAGTCGCTCTCACGCGAAAATACAGAAGCAGACATCCCAGCACCCATTCTGGGCCCCCACTCACGAAGCGTGACTCGACTCAGATTCACTCCTTTTTTTCCCGCACGTTCCCCATTCAGGGCGAGTCGCTCTCACGCGAAGATACCGAAGCGGACCTCCCGGTATCCATCCCGGGTCCCCACCCGTGGGACATCGTGGGCAACGTGCGCGATCTGAGCGCCATCGCGCTGCGCGGGATCGAGGAGGCGACGCTCCTGTACGGGCGCAAGTACGGCCCGATCTGCCGGTTCGCCAACGGCGTGAGCGCGTGGACGTTTGTGAACGACGCGGATATTATCGCGCACATCTGCAGCTCCAACTCCAAAAACTACTCGCGCAGGTTCCTGCCCGTGAGTAGCTTTGAGTCGACTCTGAAGCTCCTTCTTTCTCTCCAGTAGTCTGTCTTCCCCACAAGCTGTGACGCACGGTAAGGGTACTTCGGGCTCGCTGGGCGTTTCTCAACTCACGTCTTTCCGTTCCGCCGCCTTCCTCCTCCCCACATCAGGCTGTGTACGAGTACGTGACGCACGGCAAGGGCATATTGGGGTCGCCGAGCGTTTCTTGACTCAGGACACTCCTTTCCACCGGCTTCCTCCTTCTCTCTCCCAACTGCCCCCCCCCCACCAGGCGGTATACGAGTACGTGACGCACGGCAAAGGCATTCTGGGGTCGCAGTAGGTTTCTCGACTCATGACTCTCCCTTATGCCGCCTCCTTCTCACTGCGTCCTAATCCCCACATCCTTCTCACCTCCTCCCACCAGGCCGTGTACGAGTACGTGACGCACGGCAAGGGCATTCTGGGATCCCAAGGGGAGTACAACCGCGCGCACCGGCGCATGTGCCAGCCGCCCTTCATGCGCCCCAACCTGCTCGACGCCTTCTCCGATACCATCCAGTCGCAGGTGTGTGCTGTGACGGTCTAAGGACGTCACCAGTCTTCATGCCATCTCCTCACATCCATCCATCCTTCATCACCATTTGCCCGCCCCGTCCTTCAAATCTCGTCCCATTCGTTTATCCTGATCCTCCCTCCGCCCGTCAAGCCGCCACTCTCCCCTCACTCGCTTCATCCTGAACCCACTCAACCTCTGCCAACACTCTCATCATATCCCCGTCCTACATCACTCTCCGCCACCCCTTCCCATGGCAAGCTAGACGATCTTCTATCCTATCACACGACAGTGTGCCGCCATGAAGCCGCCACAGATGTCGGTTCACCCTTTCCTTCCCCTCCCCACTCCATCCTATCCCTCATCACCCACTTCCCGCAACTATCACCCTTTCTCCCGAGCAGTTGGATAGGCTAATCACAATGTGGCGCCATCAAGCCGCCACAGACGCCGGCTCACCCCTCCCCAACGTCGTCCTGGACGGCAATCTAGCGGTCCAGATCCAACGCTTCACGCTCGACATCATCGGAGCCGTCGCTTTCTCCAAGGACTTCGGGCAGCTGGACCGCATCCGAGCCGACCCCGCAGGCTCGGCAACCGAGGCGGACGCCGGAGCTGACGAGCTGCTCGGAGCGGTGAACGAGTCGCAGCAGCTGATGGCAAACGTGTTCATCACGCCGCTGCCGGTTCTGCAGCTGCTGCGGAGGCTCGGAGAGCCCGGGATGCTGCGGTTGGATGCGGCGATGAGGGCCATGGAGAGGGTTATGATGGGTGTGATTGAGGAGCGGAGGGAGAAGTGGCGCGCGACGGGAGACGCTGGGGATGATCTGCTGGGCGTGCTGCTAGGCGCCACGGTACGGCCGCGTGAGAGGGAGGTGGGGGGTGAGGAGGGGAGGGGTGGGTTTGTGTAGGTATTGGGTGTGGGGTTGTGCGAGAGAGGGTAGGACAATTTCCGAGCCTGAAAAGATTACTGTAGGGCCATGGAGAGGGTTATGATGGGTGTGATAGAGGAGCGGCGAGAGAAGTGGCGCGCGACGGGGGATGCGGGGGATGACCTGCTGGGCGTGCTGTTAGGCGCAACGGTACGGCCGTTCGTGGATGGGGGCGGGTAAGACGACTTTCGAGGCGTCTAAAAGTAGGCGTCTGAAAGTAGGCGTCTGAAAGTAGGCGTCTGACAGTAGGCGTCTGAAAGTAGGCGTCTGAAAGTAGGCGTCTGAAAGTAGGCGTCTGACAGTAGGCGTCTGAAAGTAGGCGTCTGACAGTAGGCGTCTGAAAGTAGGCGTCTGACAGTAGGCGTCTGAAAGTAGGCGTCTGACAGTAGGCGTCTGAAAGTAGGCGTCTGACAGTAGGCGTCTGAAAGTAGGCGTCTGACAGTAGACGTCTGAAAGTAGGCGTCTGACAGTAGGCGTCTGAAAGTAGGCGTCTGACAGTAGGCGTCTGAAAGTAGGCGTCTGACAGTAGGCGTCTGAAAGTAGGCGTCTGACAGTAGGCGTCTGACAGTATCACTTGAGGGCCATGGAGAAGGTTCTGGTGGGTGTGATCGAGGAGCGCCAAGAGAAATGGCGCGCAGGGGGGATGATTTGCGCTGAGTGCCGCTAGGCACCACAGTACGGCCGTTGGTAGGGGAGGTGTGTGGGGATATGGGGGGTGTGGGGGAGGGGGGTCGGACGATTAGTGTGGCGGAGGGGGAGAGTGCGTTCGTGTGTGCAGGGAACGAGGAGTTGCGGGATGCCTCTGTTTTTTGAGGATTCTCAAAAAACACATGCGAGCCAGTACGGGGCCGATGGTCAATATAGCACTAGACCTTTGACATCTTCCTTGCCCAATCTTCTTCGCACCCATGGCCCCCCTTCCCCAATATCGTCCCATCCCTCCCTCCGCGTCCCTGCCTTCTTGCCTTGCACCGCCTGTGTCTCCAGGACGAGCAGGGACGGCCACTGCAAGACGAGGAGCTATGGGAGGACATGCGCGATGTGATGGGCGCGGGGCACGAGACCACCGCGTCTCGTCTCCCTCCCTAGCACTGCCCCCTCACCCCCTCTACCTCTCTGCTCCCCTGCCTCCTCTGTGTTCTCAGGACGAGCAGGGACGACCCCTCCAAGACGAGGAGTTGTGGGACGACGTGCATGATGTGATGGGCGCGGGGCACAAGACCACCGCCACCACCATCACGGCGGCGCTCTTCCTCATCTCGCAACACCCTGAAGCTAAGGCCAAGGTGGGGAGCAGGCCGAGGCGGGTGGCTGGCAGTGGTGGGTGAATGTTAAGGTGGGTATAGCGCAAGGTGCGGGGCAAGGTGATGGGCGCGGGGCACGAGACCACGGCCACCACCATCACGGCGGCGCTCTTCCTCATCTCACAACACTCTGAAGCCAAGGCCAAGGTGGGTGGCGCACAGTGGTGGGCGCAAGGCAAGGTGGGCGCAGGGCCAAGTGGGTGGTTACTATGGCGGGCCGTACAATGGTGGGTAACCTCATGTTTTGGACGTGAATCAACGCACTCTCACCTAAGCCAAGGCCAAGCTGGGCGGTTCACAATGGTAAACGGTTGCAGTGAAGGTAGACCCTCTGCATGCACCCCCTGTAATTTCTCCTTTTTCTCCACCCCTCCTCTTCCCTTTCCCCCCTTCCTCCTCGACCCTTCTCTCCACCCGTCCTCTTCCCTTCCCTCCGCATCCCTTCTCCCCCACCCCACAGGTGCACGAGGAGCTGAGGGCTCTCAACGGGCGCATGCCCTCGTTCCAGGACGTCAACAGCGGGCGCCTGCCATACACACAGATGGCCGTCAAGGAGACCCTCCGCATGTACCCGCCCATCCCCCTCTTCCCACGGGAGGTCGCCCACACCGACGTCCTACCCGGGGGCTACGAACTTCCAGGCGGCGATGTGAGTGCGCTCTTGCCTTGTAGCTTCCATCACTGATGCCCTTCCCATCCCGCTCTTCCCATGGGAGGTCGCCCCACCGACTGCCTACCCGGGGGCTACGAACTTCCAGGCGGCGATGTGAGTGTGCTTTCTAGGCCCCGTTACATCCCCGTTGCCCTTCCCACGGGAGGTAGCCCACACCGACCGACTTCCCGGGGGCTACGAACTACCTGGCGGCGATGTGAGTGCGCTCCTCCCTTCTTGGCCTATCACTGATGCCCTTAACATCTGCTGCTCAACCATTTCACGCGTCCGAAGGGAAATTCCCCACACTGACTGCATTCCTGATGTTTAGAAAATACCCCCTTGCCATGGGCACAGCCTTGCTTATGAGCTCGTACTGCTTTTGCAGCAACTAAGAAACTGCTGGCCCGGCATCTCCCTCCCCATCGCAGTCCCCTTGCCCTCCTCCCTCCCCATCTCAGTCCCCTTAGACGTTTCCCTGCCCACTCCCCAGGGTCGTCTTCATGTCTACATATGCCATGGGACGCAACCCTGTCTACTGGCAGCTGCACTGCCTTTTGAAGCACGTACACAGCTTTTGCCCACCCATCTCCCTCCCCTTCTCCCCATCCCTTCCCCTCCCTCTTTGCCCATCCCCAGGTCGTATTCATGTCCACCTATGCCATGGGACGCAACCCTGTCTACTGGCCAGAGCCCCTTTCCTTCCGACCGGTAATGCTCCCTGTGGTCCTGATGTTCCTGCTGCCTCCTTTCCAATGTCCACTTCCTTCTAGTTAATGTAGCTCCGTTTTTCTTTTCGTGGTGCTCCCTTCATGCCGCACAAGAAAAAACACCTCTTGCTGCTCGGTGCTTTCCATTGTTTCGAAAATTCCCTTCCTGCTTGATATTGTGTCAGCATCCGCTCCACTCCCATGCTCTCTGCTGCTTTTAGAGTGGTTCACTCACAAGGCAGAAGCAGCCCACCTCCCTTATGCCGAAGCTCAGCGTGTCGACGTCTCGCTCCCTTGGCGCTGCATTTCAACATCCTCTGCCCTCTCATGCTCTTCGGCCCCATCCCCCGCACTTCCATGCTCTCTCCCACCTGCAGGAGCGCTTCACTCCCGAGGAGGAGGCAGTGCGGCCGCGCTTTGCATGGGTGCCGTTTGGGGCGGGCCCTCGCATGTGCCTGGGCGCCAACTTTGCTGTGCTGGCTGTCACTCAAGTCGTTGCCACTCTGCTGCAGGTGCGTGTGAGGGGAGGGGGGAAAGGTGGTGGGGAGGGGTGTCTGTGGGTTCCATTCGGGGGGGGCCCTCGCATGTGCCTCGGTGCTAACTTTGCTGTGCTGGCTGTCACTCAAGTCGTCGCCACTCTGCTGCAGGTGTGTGCTTTCAGTCTCACTTGATAAGGTGTTTGGGCGTGGAAAGGGGAAGGGCGTCTGTGGGTGCCATTTAGAGCGGCCCTCGCACGTGCCTCGGCGCCAGCTTTGCCGTGCTCGCCGTCACTCGAGTCGTTGCCACTCTGCTGCAGGGGGGTGGTGTGATGAGGGGGTGTGGGTGTGTGGAGGTATCTGTGCATGCTTGCATCCGTATGTGTGCCTCGCCGTGTGCGATATATAGACCTTGTGTCTCTTTCTCTCCCTCCATCTTCTCTTCCCCTCCTCCCCCCTCTTTTCCTCCCCTCCTCCCCTACCTTTTCCTCACCTCCCTTCCTTCCCTCCTCCAGCACTTTGACTTCGAGGGTATCAGCCCCAGCGGCAAGGAACTGCCATTCGCTTATGACATTACAATGAACTTTCCAGGTACCACGTTGAATTCTTATACCTAACATGTTTTGTTTATTTCTTCCATTCATAGCCCCCGGTCCATCCATATACTTACATGCCGCTCCCCTGACATAAAGCTCTCTCTTAACTTTTGTCCTTGACTCAGGTGGGGTAAACATACGTGTTCGGCCACGTGAACCGCAGGCTTGAAGCAGGAGGGTGTACTGGAGGCATGATTGACCATAGCCCCAACTAACGTGCAGTTAGACGCTGCAATAATGTTGGTGAACGATTAGTTTTTTTTATTGTCACAATAACCTTGGTTTGTGTTGTGTGTTGTAAGTTATGTGTGTATAGTTTTCTCCCCAGTTTTCATGGCTCTTGGTTCTAAGAAACACAGTCTAGCGCAAAAAAAGAAGGAAACATGGCAAGTGAAACTGATGAATGTGAACACTAAAATTTGGGCAACATTGCATGATTACAATTACAGACTTCTCCCTAATGTTGACGTACAGAAGTGCTGTAAAGAGGCAGCCAATAACAAGGTTCGGCACTCCCAAAGTCGCCATTGCACGGCATCACAGCTATTTCTGACAGCATTGGGAACTCCAGCAATTCTACTGATGAACGTCACGTCACCGTTGTGACATGTGGACACATGGACAGCAGCTTTATAACAGACAGGATCCGGATTACGTGCAGTAGCCGTTTTTACGTCGTGTCTGCCAGCCGTTGGATGCTAATAGCCGTTGTACGTCGTCACCACTAGTTGTTACTACCTCGTCGTCAATAACCGCTGGTGCGTCGTCGTTAATATGCGTTGGTACGGTGTTGCTAAAAGCCGCTGGTGCTAGAAAGTTGTTGTGTGAACTCGTGTTCGTGGCGACCTCAGTAAACCCCTCCCGGAGTCTCGCGACGTCTCCTGAAGGCTACAGGGAGTTAAACTAGTCGACAGGCACAGCAGCACATTGCGGGTCGCGTCTCGATATAGTCACAAGAATGGACTCGCGCAACGCTGGGAGTGGCGCAGAGTCAGCGTCAAATGCGGAGGTAGAACCCGCAGGTGTAAGCGGTGTTAGCAGCAGCGGCAACCACACGAGAGAACGCTGCTCGGAGTCAGCTTCGGGCGAAATCCCGGCGGCAATCGCTGTTGGGGGGGGCCCCTGGGGAGCAGTGGGCGACACTGGCGGAATGGGCTCGGGGGGAGGCGCAGGGGGAAGGGGAACAAGTCCAGCAGTGGCGGCGGGACTAGGCGGAGCGCAGACGATGCCTCCGCATCTGGATTTGCGCGGAGCTGCGATTCAGACGTTTCCGCGGGACGCTGCTGGCGCGCAGACGACTATTGTGCTCCCAAATCAACGGTCGGATGTGCTCCATTTCGCACTTGACATCGGAGGTGTGTTCCAACCCTTGATCTGAGTTGAGTCGACTCAGCGGTCTTAATCAACGGTCGGAGAATCCTGTATGATTATCCTGGACTTCCGAAGATTTTATTTCCAAGAATGAATGTCCAGGCATCCATGCTCATCCATTGATCCATTGTCAGAGCAATCACTGTCCAGGAAATTACAGGAATCAATGTCCATGCTGTTTCAGGCATTTTTTACGAATCAATCTCTATGCAACTCTACAAATAAATGTCCAGGCATTTCCAGGCCCCCCCCACGTTTTTTCGTAATACATTCTCCTGCGGTTTATGGGAATCATGTCAGATCATGAAGTACTTTCTATTTAGTCATTTTGAAGCACTTGTTTTTCGCACGTTTTCTCATGATTTCGTTTCGTCTCATCTTTCTCTCCCATGCCCCCCCTCTTCACCGTCCCCCTCAGGCTCGCTCATCAAGCTCGTGTATTTCTCCCGCATCCCTCCGCACCTGGAACACGGGGCTTTGCCTTGAGGCGACTCAGAACACGGCTCATACTCTTCTCCCGTACCCCCCATTACTGCTGCCCGCAGGCTCGCTCATCAAGCTCGTGTATTTCTCCCGCATCCCTCCGCACTTGGAACACGGGGGCTCCTTCTCCTCTCTCATATCCCCTGGTGCCGCTGCTGCTGCTCCTGCTACCAGCACTGCTGCTGGTAATGAAAACACGGACGACACCAACCAGACCAATTGTGGTGGTGGTGGTGCTGCTGCTCCACCCGCTGCTTCTGCTGCCGCTACTGCAGCAGCAGCAGCTGCAGCTGCTAGGGCAGTTGACAGGCGAGCCTCCTTCTCCGGAGGAGGGGGTTCTTTCCGGTCGGGCGGCGGCGGTCGGCTGCACTTTGTCAAGTTCGAGACGTCGAGGATTGCAGAGTGCATCGAGTTCATCAAATCCAAGAGGCTTCACAGCTTTGATATTCTGGGTGAGGTGAAGATGCTACGCAGTGGGTGGGAATACAGAGGGTGGGTGCGGTGTGGAGAGAGGCTATGAGATACAGAGAATGGGTGGGTAGAATCATTGGGGAGGGAGTGGGAGGGAGATGAGAGAAAGGGCTTAAAGGATTTTGGATAAGATTGGTGGGGGTTTGATCTGTTTCCGCATATCTAAGCGATGATGCGTAGAAGCATCCATAGAAATCGGTGCGGTGCTCCATGCTCTGGTCTAAGAGCCTTGTGATCTTCCATGTACCATCCTCATTCACCCTCTTTCATCCTCATCTCGTCCGCCCACACACACTTAGCGCCGGAATTTGTAACCATCCTACAACACACTGTCCTTCGCAACACACTCACCTCTTTCCTTTTCCGGTGTCTCATTCTAGCCTCCTCAAATCGTTGTCTTGCCACCCCTCTCATGGCTTGTTGAAAGGAATGGGAGGAGATGAGGAGAGCCTATGGGGCTATGGAGCTAGTTCGCCTCGCATCAAGGTGTGTTTCGGCAGCTTGGAATGACATTTTTGTGACACCCTTTGAGGCGCATTCAGTATATACGTACATGTATACAAATATATATACATATACACAAATATACATATATACATATATACATATATACATATATACATATATACATGTATACATATATACATATATGCATACATAAATATATATTTTCATAAGGCGGACCTGTGTAAGGAGAAGCTGGGCGTGGTGTTGGACAAGGACGATGAGATGTCAAAGTCGACTCTAAACTCACCGTGTCATGCACCACCCCTGCCATGCAACATTGTCCTCACGTGTGTGGTCAGGCCACAGGGGGAGGGGCGTTCAAGTACGCGGACCTTTTCAAGGAGAAGCTGGGCGTGGTGCTGGATAAGGAGGATGAGATGCGCTGCCTCGTGCTCGGCCTCAACTTCCTCCTGCGCGTACGTCCGCCCCCCTGGCGCTCGCCCTTACATGCTGCACATACACCGCCCTTCATGCGCTTGGCCTGGTGTTTGCGTTGCACACACCACTGCTTGCAGAGATGCGCTGCCTCGTGCTCGGCCTCAACTTCCTCCTGCGCGTACGTCCGCCCCCCTGGCGCTCGCCCTTACATGCTGCACATACACCGCCCTTCATGCGCTTGGCCTGGTGTTTGCGTTGCACACACCACTGCTTGCAGAGATGCGCTGCCTCGTGCTCGGCCTCAACTTCCTCCTGCGCGTATGTCCGCCCGCCCTTATGTGCTCTCCGTATGCCTGCCTCCGCCCTTATATGCTGTGTGTATGTCCGCCCGCCATTATATGCTGTGCGTATGCCTGCCCGCCCATGCATGCTGTGCATATGCCCAACATCCCCTCTCCCCTCCCCTTTGTTGAAATGCATGTGCAATGGCTTATGCTTCCTCCACACACATGCCCATTCCCCCTCCGCCCAGTCCATCCGCAACGAAGCACTCACCCACCTGAAGGGCGAGAAGCAGTTTGTGGAGATGCACGTGCAATGGATCGATTCCTCCCATTCACCCTCCCATCTTCTCTTCCTTGTTACCCCCATGCCCACCCCCCTGCTGCCCAGTCCATCCGAGACGAGGCATTCACGCACCTGGAGGGCGAGAAGCAGTTTGTGGAGATGCACAGTGGAAACATCTTCCCCTACCTCCTCGTCAACATCGGCTCGGGTGTGAGCATTCTTAAGGTGCGGCATTCTGACTCTCAGGCGCCTCAAAGCACGGTGCAGGGAGTTTTTGAGAATTCTCAAAAACTCCCTGACTCTCAGGCGCCTCAAAGCACGGTGCGTCGGCATTCTCGGGGCACGCTGCTGTGATATTGAGACGTCGCAAAGCAAGGTGTGCGACTGTCTGTTGCAGTTCTGTTAACATACGCTACTCTCATTTTGAGACGCCTTAGAGCAACTTGTGACTGACTGACAGCCTGTTCTTGCCTGCACCCCTACCTACCCCCCTCTGGCCCACCTCCCTCTACCCACGGTGGCAGGTGGACGGGCCACAGCAGTACGAGAGAGTGAGCGGCACGATCGTGGGTGCGACAACACAAACTATTCAGCTTGCTTCTGTTTTCCCATTCTTCTCATCACTCCCATCGCTCCCTCTACCCACGGTGGCAGGTGGACGGGCCACAGCAGTACGAGAGAGTGAGCGGCACGATCGTGGGTGCGACAACACAAACTATTCAGCTTGCTTCTGTTTTCCCATTCTTCTCATCACTCCCATCGCTCCCTCTACCCACGGTGGCAGGTGGACGGGCCACAGCAGTACGAGAGAGTGAGCGGCACGATCGTGGGTGCGACAACACAAACTATTCAGCTTGCTTCTGTTTTCCCATTCTTCTCAGCACTCCCATCGCTCCCTCTACCCACGGTGGCAGGTGGACGGGCCACAGCAGTACGAGAGAGTGAGCGGCACGAACCTGGGGGGAGGCACGTTCTGGGGTCTGGGCAGCCTGCTCACGGGGTGCAAGAGGTGAGAGGCCAGGGGTGCAAGAGATGAGAGGCCAGGTTAATTTCAGGGGCCACTCCGCACCTTCTCTTCTGCGCCCTTGCACATCACATTTGGCGTTCAGGGCTTATCACACTTGTTGAGTTGACTTGCCCCGCACAAGCCCATCTCTCATCCCCATCTCGCATCCTCCCTCACTTTCCGCATCACTTCCCAACACCACACCCCTGCTACACAATCTTCATTGCATGCCCCTGCAGCTTATTCCTCTTCCCTCTGTCCTTCAGTGTTGTCTAGAGATTGCCCTTCTCAACCAGCAGTCTAAACCCCTTTCTTCCCTAAACCCGAAACCCTGAACTCGAAACCTTCACTCACACCATCCCCTGATCATGCCACGACCAGTTTTGACAAGATCCTGGAGCTCAGTCAGTCAGGAGGGGTCAGGTTTCCGTTCCAACCCTTCCTTGCGTGTTCTTTCCCCAGCTTGCTCCCTCAGACACACCCTCCCCGCTTCCTTCCCGTCTCTCACTTCATGCCACGGCCATCAGTTTTGACAAGATCTTGGAGCTGAGTCAGGAGGGCGACAACTCAGCTGTTGACATGCTGGTGGGGGACATCTATGGCGGGCTTAACTACGAGAAGGTGAGTCAACAATGAGAAGGTGAGCAGGTAAATCAACCATACATTGTAGCATCACCTTTCCGGTGTCGTCCCATCAGGGCGACAACTCGGCTGTGGACATGCTGGTGGGGGACATCTATGGCGGGCTTAACTACGAGAAGGTGAGTCAACAATGAGAAGGTGAGCAGGTAAATCAACCATACATTGTAGCATCACCTTTCCGGTGTCGTCCCATCAGGGCGACAACTCGGCTGTGGACATGCTGGTGGGGGACATCTATGGCGGGCTTAACTATGAGAAGGTGAGAGCAGGTCACCAACCCCACTCACCACCCCCACCTCCCCTCCCACGTCATCCCCACCCACATTGTTCCCTCTTATTGTCCTGTCAGCGTCCACCATATCCTCCATCACCTCTTTTAGGAAACTTCTTCTCATCTCCACCCCCCCCAACCCACACCCCCCTGCCATACCCCCCATTGCCCCCCACCCCCCTCAGATCGGCCTATCAGCGTCCACCATAGCATCCAGTTTCGGGCGAGTGGTGGGGGAGCAGAAGCAGCTCTCAGACTACCGCCCGGAGGACATAGCGCTCTCTCTCCTCCGCATGGTGTCGTACAACATCGGCCAGATCGCCTACCTCAACGCCCTGCGCTACAACCTCAAGCGCATCTTCTTTGGCGGGTTCTTCATCCGCGGGCATGCCTACACCATGGACACCATCTCCTTCGCCATCAAGTTCTGGTGGGTGCTGTCTGCGTAGGCGCTCAGCAGCGCACATCATTGGGATCCCCTTAGGTTCTTCATTCATCCGCAGGCATGCATACACCATGCATACGCCATGCATACACCATGCATACACCATGCATACACCATGCATACACCATGCATACACCCTGCATACACCATGCATACACCATGCATACACCATGCATACACCATGCATACACCATGCATACACTATGCATACGCCATGCATACGCCATGCATACGCCATGCATACACCATGCAGACACCATGCATACACCATGCATACGCCATGCATACGCCATGCATACACCATGCATACACCATGCATACACCATGCATGCACCATGCATACGCCATGCATACACCATGCATACACCATGCATACACCATGCATACACCATGCATACGCCATGCATACGCCATACATACACCATGCATACACCATGCATACACCATGCATACACCATGCATACGCCATGCATACACCATGCATACACCATGCATACACCATGCATACACCATGCATACGCCATGCATACGCCATACATACACCATGCATACACCATGCATACACCATGCATACACCATGCATACACCATGCATACGCCATGCATACACCATGCATACACCATGCATACGCCATGCATACACCATGCATACACCATGCATACACCATGGATCACCATGGATCACCATGGATACACCATGGATACACCATGCATACACCATGGATCACCATGGACACCATCTCGTTTGCCATCAAGTTCTGGAGGGTTCATTCAATCACAATGGTCCATTCTTCTTCATTTCCGCGTTCATTCACCCACCATCTCCTCCTATTCTCGTCCCCTTCTTCCCCCGCCCCCCTTGCAGGTCCAAGGGTGAGAAGCAGGCCATGTTTCTGAGGCACGAGGGGTACTTGGGCGCACTGGGCGCCTTCCTAGCGCACGAGGAGGACGCGCACGCAGAGGGCCGCGGGCTCTCCCTCACCCCCGGCATCGCGTCGCTCTCCTCGCTCACGCCGTCGCAGCTGGTGGAGCGCTTCCCCATGGGCGCTCCCTTCTCCAAGGGGGAGATCCGCGGGCCTGTGATTCGTGGGCTCAAGGAGAAGGTTTCGTGGGTCGAGAAGTTCGTTCAGGTGGGCGTGCATGGTTAACTTACAGTACTTTGTATTGTACAGTTCTCAATCGAAAGAACAGAAAAGAGCCGAAACTTTGCAGGCGAGGAGACTTTGTGCAGGCGAGGTAATATTACGCTGCCTGCAAAGAAGCGGCGGTGAAAACAAAAGGCTGCTGAAAGAATACCTTCCAAAAAAAAATAGAGACTTGTAAACATCATTGGAATGGAATATCTTGTTCATGCAGGTGGGGAGCGACATCACAGCGCCCACGCCAACAGGCAAACCACCCACCACCACGGGGCTGGGAGGCTTTGCACGACCCAGGGAGCAGGGCAGGGAGCTGCAATCAGACGAGTCAAGTTTCGAAACCTCATGTCAAAGCTCATGTGTGGTTGTGTGCAGGTGGGGAGTGACATCACGGCGCCAACCCCAACAGGCAAGCCACCAACCACCACGGGGCTGGGCGGTTTCGCACGGCCCAGGGAGCAGGGCAGGGAGCTGCGATCAGATGAGTCGGCGCTCAGTGTGGGCGTGCTGCACCTCGTGCCGTCCCTCGAGGTCTTCCCACTGCTGGCGGACCCTGTTAGGTGAGAGAGGTGCTTAGTTGTGGGAGTTGTATGGTGCTGGGTGATGTGGTGGTGGTGGTGGTGGGTGATATGGCCGTGCTGCACCTCGTGCCCTCGCTCGAGGTCTTACCCCTGCTGGCCGACCCATTCAGTAGAGATTTGCTTAGAAATGCACTCTTTGCTCCTCTTTCCCGTTTCTCTCCCTTTTTTCACTCCTTTCCTTTGCTCTGCTTTTCTCCCTTCCATTGTCATTCCTTCCCCTTTCCCTTCCTTCTCATTCCCTCCCTTTTCTCACCACTTCCCTCCTCCCCCTCCCTCCACTGCCACCGCCACCAGCTAAAAGCCCTCCCTATTCCCCTCTATTCCCCCTCCCCTGCCCCCCCCTCCTCCCCTCCCCCCCACTGCCACGGCCACCAGCTACGATCCCAACACAGTGGACCTCGCAGACCCCGATGAGCTCTGAGGCGCCTTAAATGCCCTCCCCAATTCTCTCTCCCCACTCCCCCCCCCCCCTCCTCCCCCACCCTCCCTCCCCCCTCCCCCCCCCCTTTCCTCCCCCACCCTCCCTCCCCCCTCCTCCCCTCCCCCCTACTGCCACCGTCACCAGCTACGAGCCCAACACAGTGGACCTTGCAGACTCCGATGAGAGGGAGTGAGTGGGGCACGGGGAGGGAGACAGAGGGAGTGGGACACGGGGGAGGAGAGAGAGTGAGTGGGGCATGGTGGAGGGATTGGGAGGAAGTGAGTGGGACAGAGAAGGGGGAGAGGGATTGAGGGAGGGCAAGTTGTGGGAGGAATTGGGCAGGAGGTGAAGGGGTGGGTGCTTGTGCCTCTGGGGATGAGTAGTGTCAGTTGCTGGTGCTATTCAATCAAACTCTTTATGTGTGTCAAGTTTATTGGGCCTCTCTGTTTTTTTTTTTTTTTTTTTTTGCATCTCACGGGTCTGTACGTTTGGCTTGGCATGGCATGCATGGTGTGGCACTTCGCGAATCACTTTGGCCAATGCTCTGGTGTCATGGTGGCATGGTGTCATGGTGATGGTGGCATGGTGTCATGGTGGCATGGTGGCATGGTGGCATGGTGGCATGGCATGGTGGCATGGTGGCATGGTGGCATGGTGTCATGGTGATGGTGGCATGGTGGCATGGTGGCATGGCATGGTGGCATGGTGGCATGGTGGCATGCTTGCGTCCATGCACGGTCGCATCAGGTACTGGCTTGGCATTCTGCAGGATCACATTCCCAACCTTGTGGAGAAGGTAAGTGGGAGGAGCAACCACAGTGTGGTGTGGCCACCCTAGGGGAGGATGTTGACATGTCTGAGAATCCGTTTTTCATGATCACATTTTTTGTGAGCAAATCTCTCATGATCGCATTTTCCATTATAAAGAGTGCGGAATGGTTAGTGAAGCAAGGCAGAGAGAGGTTGGTTGGAAGACACGAGCAGGAATAAGCAGGCACGCTCTCAGTCGAGTTTGTGTGCTTGTTAGGAAAACATACCAGAATACTGTGTGCGGCAACTTCACAAACGAATCCTTATCCCTCTGTCTTCCGTGTTTCTTCCATCTCTCTAAACCTTTCTCCTTCCCTCCTCCCTTCCCTCTTTCCTTCACCCTCTCCATCACTCTCTCCTGCCCTCCCTCTCTCCAGGCAGTGGGAAGCGAGGGGGCAACGGAGGATGCCAAGAGGAGGGGAGACGCCTTTGCCTTGGCCTTCAGGGCGCATCTAACCAGGTGATGGGCTGCTTCTGCTTCTGCTTCTGCTGCTGCTGCCGCTGTTGCCACCGCCACTGCCACTGGCCCACTGCTCCTGCTGCTGCTGCTGTCGCCACCGCCACCGCCACTGCTCCTGCTGCTGCTGCCCCTGACCCTGCGACTACTGCTGCCGTGGCTGCCGCTGCTGCTGCTCGCCTAGATACTGCTGCTGCTTCGTCTTCTCCTGCTGCTGTCGCCGCTGCTGCTTCTCTCCTTGCTGGCCTTTGCACAAGGAGCCGTCAGCATGCAACGTACGGGGTTTGTGATGAGGATTCATGATCCACCTGCTCTAACCACGTTCCCGAACCCACCCTTCTCTCGCAGACTGCGCGAGGAGCCAGCAGCATATGGGCGGCTGGGGCTGGCAACGCTGCTGGAGATGCGCGAGGAGTGTTTGAGGGAGTTCCATTTCTTTGACGCGTACCGTGCTGTCAAGCAGCGGTGAGTGCTGTGGGGAGGAGGAGGGAAGAGGTGAGGGGGGAGTACGGGAGAAGGGTGCTGAGTTCACGGTGAAGCAGCGGTGCGCTCGAGACGTCTCAAAGTGGGGTGGAGTGTTTGAAGGAATTCCATTTCTTTGATGCGTACTGTGTCGTCAAGCAGCGGTGAGTGCTGTGGGGAGGAGGGGGCACGAGGTGAAGCAATTGTGAGAGGGAACGAGGTGGGTCAGAGAGGTGAGAATTGCCGTTCAGCTTCGGAGATGCGCGAGAAATGACTGCGGGTGTTTCATTTCTTTGATGCGTGTCCTGCTGTCAAGCAGCGGTGAGTGCTGTGCTGTGGGTAGGGATGGGGGAAGATGTGAAGCGAATGGTGTTCAGCTTTGAAGCAGAGGCAGACAGTAAGCACAGCTCTGGAGATGCCGAGGTGACCACAAGAGAAGACCAGTTACCTTACTAAATCACGTAACAGGATCAGAGCTTCTCCCTTTCTTTTGTTCGTTGAACCTTGTGTCCCTCCTGCTCTGTCTGCTGCCTCTTATCCCCGCAATCAGGGAGAATGACGTGTCACTGTCAGTGCTGCCGGACCTTCTAGCCGAGCTCGACAGCATTCCTCCTGTAAGCTCAGCTCTCTCGTTGGGCCGAATCACTTACGGGGATTCCTTTTTTTGTTTTTGTTTTTTTTTTCTGTAAGACGCAACACATCTCTCAGAGACACCTTTCCTCTACTCTCTTCCCTTTCATCCCCCCTCTCCCTCCCCAGTCCACCCGTCCCTCCTCTCCCGCTTCATTACCAGGCGAACGTGTGCTGACAGTGGAGTGGGGCGTGCTAGCAGCCAAAACCATTGACTCAGGTCTAGGGGTCAAGGCGGGATGAGTGCTGCTGTTCTGGGTAGCACCACCATCCTACTCTCCCACTCTATACCCTCCCTCCCCCATCTTTCCCCCCCACCATCAGGAGGAGCGGCTGCTGACGGTGGTGGGGGGTGTGCTGGCAGCCAACACATTCGACTGGGGGTCACGTGAAGCTGTACCGCAGCGGCACCATTTTGGAGATCTACCGCATGAGCCGCGACAAGATGAAGCGCCCGTGGCGGGTGGACCACCAAGGGGGATGCTGCTTGATGCAGGTTTGGGCTGTGGCCCATCCTCCTCTCCCACCCTTTTCCCCTCCCTCCCCCCCCCTCCCCCCTTCCCTCCCCTCCTCCTCCCGCTCCTCCCCCATCCCCCCCTCCCCAATCACCCCCAGGAAGAACGGCTGCTGACGGTGATGGGGGGCGTGCTAGCAGCGAACATATTCGACTGGGGGTCGCGGGAGTGTGTGAAGCTGTACCGCAGCGGCACCATTCTGGAGATCTACCGCATGAGCCGCGACAAGATGAAGCGCCCGTGGCGGGTGGACGACTTTGACGCCTTCCACCAGCGCTGGCAGCACCGCCCGTACAGCAAGGCTCTATTGTTTGTGGACAATGCTGGGGCGGACGTGGTGCTGGGGATGCTTCCACTCGCACGCGAGATGTTAAGAGCCGGGACCAATGTGAGTTGCACTGTGCTGGGTGCGATGGTAGTGGTTGTGATCATAGTCTGCTAGGCACTGCTGTTTGTGGATAACGCTGGGGCGGATGTGGTGCTGGGGATGCTGCCTTTGGCCCAAGAGGTGCTACGAGCTGGGACCAATGTGAGTGCAGCAGGTGTGATGCCTGAATCCTTGCTCATGAGCTGATGCTGATGCCGACTGCCTGCACACGAGCGGGAGGCAACAATGTCACAGCAGGTGGATTCTTAATGCGGTGTTCTATGTTTGCTGCCCTTGTCCTCCTCAACAACGCCACAGCAGGCGAGCTAAATTTTTTACATGCGCTCTGATGTTGCCTGCCCTCTTTCCCCGCTCCACCACCCCCCTTAAAGACCCTTCCTCTCCCCGTGCCCTCACCACTCTTCCACCCACACCGCTCCGTCTCTCCCCTATGCAGGTTGTCCTGGTGGCCAATTCGCTCCCAGCAATCAATGACGTGACAGCAGATGAACTGACAGCAGTGGTGGCAGAGGCTGCGCAGGTGAGAGCTTGATCTGTAGAGCGAAATCCAACTAGCAAATCGACTTCCATGGTTGAAGCGCCTCTATTTGAGTGGTAGCCTAGCCGAGGCTCCTCGGGTTAGAGCTTGAGCCTTAGTCCAGCATTTAGTCAGGGTCTTTGTGGTTTGGAGGTGACTTTTGAGTCGACTCAAAAGTCTCCAGCATTTAGTCAGGGTCTTTGTGGTTTGATGTTTTCCCACCAGCAGCTGCCACCAATCCGCCTTACAATTTGTCTCTCCCCCCACCAACCCTCCGCCCTTCACACCCCCTTCTCTTCCTGCCATGACCAGTACTGCCCTGTGCTGAGGGCAGCAGCAGAGGCAGGAGGGGTGATGGAACAGGCCGCTTTGTGGTCGACTCAAGAATCGCAACTGGGAGGGAACGAGCAGCAAGGGGAGGGGAGGCAGGCAGCGGTGCAGTCAGAGCAAGAACTGGTACAAAATCAGCAACAGGAACAGCAGAAACAGGAGGAGAAGCACCACCAGCAGCAGCAGCAGCAGCAGGGGGGTGGGAAGAAGCAGCAGGTGTTTCTGTCGGTGGTGGCGAGTGGGTCGGGCAGTCCGTGCATCGACTTCAGACAAGTCACCTGGGAGCTCGCTCAGGCTTGCCAGGGGGCTGATCTCGTGAGTGCTGGAGGGAGGGATAGTGCTTCTTGTTAGTGTGAACGGGGAGAGCTTCTTGTGGGTGCGAAAGAGGAGTGTTTCTTGTTAGTGCTTCGGGGAGAAGGTAGTGCTGCGAGTGGGTCGGGCAGTCCGTGCATTGACTTCAGATAAGTCACGTGGGAGCTGGCTCAGGCCTGCCGAGGGGCTTCAGTATGCTGTGCTCTTAGCCATGCTTCCCTAAATGTCATCTTATTAGGCATCCTGTCTCCCAGCCCTTCAGGTTTTGCCATTTCAGTCAACTTTCCAACATCCCATCCTATCTCCCTACGATACAGGTGGTGCTGGAAGGCATGGGTCGCAGTCTGCACACCAACTACGACACTCTTGACGTTTGAGCCGATCCTTTTGCTTCCTCACATCACATCATGTCTCCTCCCCATGCAGGTGGTGCTGGAAGGCATGGGTCGCAGTCTGCACACCAACTACGACACTCTTGACGTTTGAGCCGATCCTTTTGCTTCCTCACATCACATCATGTCTCCTCCCCATGCAGGTGGTGCTGGAAGGCATGGGTCGCAGTCTGCACACCAACTACGACACTCGCTTCACCTGCGACTCACTCAAGGTAATCACTGAGCTCACTTGGCGCTCACTGGTGACGCATCTTTTGCGTCAACTTTTGAGTCTACTCAAAAGTCGCATCCTTTTGCATCAACTTACAGCGTAGCATTGGAGATGGAATGAGAGACAGCGTGCCAAGGCAGGGTACTTGTTTCCCTGCCTTGTGTAAAACTGCTCTTATGTGGAAACTGTACCCTGTAAGAGTTGCGTACGTGTACATGTGAGGGCTGCAACTGTACTCTTTCCAAAAGCTGCAACTCCTGTCCCTCTTTCCTAAGCCCCCTTCCCCTCTCACTCAATCCCTCCCCCGTGTTCCTCGCCCTGTTCCTGTTTCTGACATTTCTTTTCCGTTTCCCCCACCTCGTTTCCCCCACTTTCAACCCTCCCTCCAATCAATCTCTGCCAGCTGGCGATGATAAAGAACGAGCGGCTGGCAAAGAGGCTGGTGGGCGGCAGCATGTACGACTGTGTGTGCCGGTTCCAGCCAGGAACAAAGGCTGGTAGAGAGGGGGATGATATGAGTGCTGGGAAAGCTTGTTGAGAAGTGACTGTTGGGGGTTAATTTTGGATCGAGTCACAAGTCACCCTGTGAAGAGGCTGGTGGGCGGCAGCATGTACGACTGTGTGTGCCGGTTTCAGCGGGGAACCAAGGCTGGGAGAGAGGGGGATGATATGAGAGATGGGACAGCTGATAAGGTGGCTTCTGGTAGGTAACACGGTGACTATTGAGTCGACTCAGGAGTCGCCTCTTCAAGAGGCTGGTGGGCGGCAGTGTGTACGCCTGTGTGTGCCGGTTTGAGGGGAGGGGCAAGAGTGGGAGAGAGGCGGCTGAGATGAGTGGTGGGGCAGCTTGTTGAGAAGCCGACCGTTGGGAAGTAATATTGAATCGACTCAAGAGTCGAGCTGACTATTACCGTAAGTTGACTCCAAAGTCAAGAGTGGGAGAGGGGCGGCTGAGATGAATGATGGGACAGCTTGTTGAGAAGACAACTTTTGGGGAGGTAGTATTGAATCGACTCAAGAGTCGCCTCGTGAAGAGGCTGGTGGGTGGCAGCAAGCACGACTGTGTGTGTCGGTTTCAGCCGGGAACCAAGGCTGGGAGAGAGGGGGATGGCATGAGTGATCGGGTAGCTTGTTGACACGGTGACTGGTGGGAGGTAACACGGCTGACAGCTGTCGGCATGGAGTTGGGGAATGGGGGCTAGGTGACTGTTGGGAGATAACATGGTCGGCAGTTGTCGACAGACATGGTCGCGGGTGGGTGATGGGGATAAGCATAGATATGATGAGCATGTGTTCGTCACCCAGCGGTTGTGGCTGTGGTTTTGAAGGAGCAGGGGGAGGGGGAAGTGGTGGTGGTGAGGAGGTGTGGGGGAAAAGGAGAGAGGCAGGAAAAGCAGTTGTGCTATGTTATTGGTTGCGTCTGAACGCGGGCAGAAGCATTCTCAAGCAAAACAGACACAGAAGCTATTGCGGGTTCGCAGTATGGCGACGGAGGGGTCTGGCATACTATTCATTGATGTGCTGATTATGAGTTGAAGGTAGTGAGAATTCAAATGAAAATGGTGTTGTTGAGCTCTTTTTCAAAATGAAAAATAACGAGAATACCCTCAAACAGGATTCCGCTATCGAGTATGAGAACTCACGGAGGAACTTTCTTTCCGCGTACGAAACTTCGGTGGAAACAAGGAAGTCCTCTCTACAGTCACATACAAGGGGGCAAATGTGGCTTTATCGGCTTTGAAACTGTACGAGTGCGGGAATCTCGAGAATCTCTGCTCAAAACGGACCATATCCACCTCCATTGCCGCCGCCATTGCGCATCGCACATGCACCAACATGCACCATCGCATCGCAAGCAACTGGCATTCAATGCAATTGAGCTTGGAAAATCGAAAGCAGGGAATCGTCGATCTCCGTCGGATTCCTAGAGAAAATTGAGCTTGAAAAACGCTCACTGTTCACCAGTCCGCCTGTCGCCTGTCCACCTGTCCGCCTCCGTCCGTCCATCCGTAGTGTAACGAGCGTTTTCTTGTTATCGCGTGTTACGTACCCCTTTAGGCCCCGGTTGCCTCAAAAGGTCGACCCAACCTGACTGGTCGGGTCGACCGGGCTGTAAATTTAGCTGGTTGGGTACCAAGCAGGCAACCTCCAAATGTACCACCCGCCTGTTTTTGGGACCCAACCATGCAAATAGTATTTCGGGTAGATCCAACAGTTACCGCGCCAATACTACTGGCCAAACTACGATGGAAAAGTTCCGTGCACCAATCACATCGAGTCTTGTTAGTGCAACCTGCCCGCAATGTTTTTGTTAACCCTCGGTTGCCCACCAGGTTGGTACGTTGAGGGCTGGTTGCCTCGACCTGGTTGTATGTGGTCGCGACCAACCGGTTGGTTGACTGCCTGGTCGCCTCGACCAAGTATGTGAGGGCCTTGGTACACACGTCCTGTACTGTACACTCTCGGGTAATCTGGTAACCCTACGTTCAACCCAACCCGACCGTTCAAGGCAACCGCGACCAGGCCCCAAAATAAGGGGTACGTAACACGCTCTTAGGCGCTATCGCCTGGCAATGCGGGCCCTCCTGCAGACTCATGCGCTCGGCGCACCATCGGACAAAGCAGCAACAGCTGCTACCCAGCGTCGGATCCTTGCCACTCGGCTATCTAGCCTAGTTTCAGGCCCGGCGGCTTTAGGGTTACGGCCCGCGTTTTTACTTCTCAACAGAGCAACGCGCAGTGCTCCTTTGCCGATTCGCGCATATTCTTCTACCGGGAACCGCGCCGCGAATCCCGCTGGTTTTTCCGCGTTTCGTTCTTCCGTGCAGCCTACGGTTGCCCCTTCTGCCCCTGAAAACTCGCAGACCCTTTCATCCGCCGCCTTTGCCTCTGTATCTTCCGGCGCAAATCTCGGCGCTTCCACCGCGCCAGCCATAGCAGTTCCTAAAAGCTTCCAAGCCATGACGGCAGCGGCCGGCGCGCCGGTTTTCACGCCGTGGAGCTCGCTGTTCGGAGGAGTGCTTATCGGCGTGGCGGCGACGCTACACCTTCTGATGTCGGGGCGCATCATGGGCGCCTCGGGAATAATCAACGGTATTGTTCGCTATAAGCACACGGCGTATCGTCACGATGTACATACAATAGTCATGCAATGCACTGACCACCTGCCCCAACCCCTCCCGCCACCCTCCCTCTCTCGCCCTCGTTCCTTCCCCCACCCCCCACCTCCTTTCCCTGCCCGACCCTCCGCCAGGCGCGATTTCGGGCGCTTCCGATTGGCCCTTCCGCGTCGCGTTCCTCGCGTCCATGCTCGCCGTCGGCTGCGCGGCGCACCTCGCGCTGCCCTCCGCGTTCGGCGCGCCCACCTTCCCCGCGCCCGCGCAAGACCCCATCGCATCCGTCATTCTCCCCGCAGTCGCTGGCGTGCTCGCGGGATTCGGCTCTCAGGTGAGTGCGGGGGTGTGCGGGGGTGTGCGGGGGTGTGCGGGGGTGTGCGGGGGTGTGCGGGGGTGTGCGGGGGTGTGCTTAGGTGTGTGGGTGGGGTGGGCGGGTGGAGGGGAGGGTGATTGTTTGCCAGGCCTCGTTCGCTCGTTCACACGAGGGGAGGGTGTCCTGTGTGCCTGCCTCGTTCGCTCCTTGCTCGTCTCTCCCCGCCTCCCATCCCCCGTATGGCAGCTAGGCAGTGTGTGCACGTCCGGCCACGGTGTGTGTGGCTTGCCACGTCAATGACCATTGGTACCCTCCGCTACCCTCCCCTACCCTCCCCTTTTCTCCCCTACCCTCCCCTACCCTCCCCTACCCTCCCCTACCCTCCCCTACCCTCCCCTCCCCTACCCTCCCCACCCCTCCCCTACCCTTCCCTACCCTCCCCTCCCCTCCCCTCCCCTCCCCTCCCCTCCCCTCCCCTTCCCTCCCCTCCCCTACCCTCCCCTTTCCTCCCCTCCTCCCTTCTCCAGCTCGGCAGCGGGTGCACGTCGGGTCATGGTGTGTGTGGCTTGCCTCGCCTCTCCATCCGCAGCCTCGTCGCTGTCTGCACCTTCATGACCACAGGCGCCATCGCATCCATGCTCTCCAATGCGCTGCTGCCACCTGTCGCCTCTGCCGCCCCCGTTGCCCCGCCTGCTAACGCCTGGATGGCTGCTCTCTCAGGTGCTTTCTTATAAGTAGACTTAGAATCGCTCTCTCAGGTGCCGCCCTCTCAGGTGCCGCCCTCTCAGGTGCCGCCCTCTCAGGTGCTGCCCTCTCAGGTGCTGCTCTCTGAGTAGACTCAGAAATTGCTCTCTCAGATGCTGCGCTCTCAGGTGTTGCTTTCCACGTGCTGCTCTCTCAGGTGCTGCTCTCTCAGGTGCTGCTCTCTCAGGTGCTGCTCTCTCAGGTGCTGCTCTCTCAGGTGCTGCTCTCTCAGGTGCTGCTCTCTCAGGTGCTGCTCTCTCAGGTGCTGCTCTCTCAGGTGCTGCTCTCTCAGGTGCTGCTCTCTCAGGTGCTGCTCTCTCAGGTGCTGCTCTCTCAGGTGCTGCTCTCTCAGGTGCTGCTCTCTCAGGTGCTGCCCTCTCAGGTGCTGCCCTCTCAGGTGCTGCCCTCTCAGGTGCTGCCCTCTCAGGTGCTGCCCTCTCAGGTGCTGCTCTCTCAGGTGCTGCTCTCTCAGGTGCTGCCCTCTCAGGTGCTGCCCTCTCAGGTGCTGCCCTCTCAGGTGCTGCTCTCTCAGGTGCTGCTCTCTCAGGTGCTGCTCTCTCAGGTGCTGCCCTCTCAGGTGCTGCTCTCTCAGGTGCTGCTCTCTCAGGTGCTGCTCTCTCAGGTGCTGCCCTCTCAGGTGCTGCCCTCTCAGGTGCTGCCCTCTCAGGTGCTGCCCTCTCAGGTGCTGCTCTCTCAGGTGCTGCTCTCTCAGGTGCTGCCCTCTCAGGTGCTGCCCTCTCAGGTGCTGCCCTCTCAAGTGCGGGCTCTCCCCCAGGTGCTTTTGCAATCAACTAGTACTTCGTTACAAAAATAGCAGCTGCTAATTTTGTTGTTACGTCCTCTATCAACACACTCGAGTACACACTTCATCCCCTCCTGTTTCTCTGCTGCGGCTGCTCATCACGAGATGCACATATTCCAACCAGCCACACTGAGTATCATTTCTCATCTCCCACCACGCCCCCCGTTCCCCCCCACATCGCCCCCTACCCCCTCCCCCACTCCAGTGAGTGCAGCCTCTCTGCTACTGCTGCTCATCAGAAGCATCGCCTCGCGGCCCGCCCCACCTTCAGTTGCAAAGGACGAGGTCAGGCGCTTGTGCCTGCGAGGGCTGTAGCTTGTGCAACTCTTGCATTCCTTCCACATTTCATGCTTTTCTCCCCCAACTTTTGTGACATTTTTTCGTGTTTGTCCCTTTTCGTCATCTTCTTTTCTCGTGTCCTGTTTTTCTGCTCTCGCTCACCAACCACCCGGGCAGCAGTTTGAGAATTCTCAAAAAGTCCCACCAGTCATTCAGGCAGCAGCGTCTGGGACGGTGTCTCCCGTGCTTCTGCCTGTTGAGTCAACTTAAATGTTACTGTTGTCTTTCTACTCTCTTGCCCTCCAGCTTCCCAAGGCAGCAGCATCAGGGGCAGTCTCTCCTATGCTGCTTCTCTCTTCCATGCTCTTAGGAACGGTCTTTTCTCTCGGCCTCACCTTCAGTGGCATGTGAGCAACCTTCATGTGCCAACCATGACTCTTATTGCATGATCCGGCAATCATGTCCAGGCCAGCATCTAGTGGGACACTTGGTAGAATCAAAGGGCATGTGAGCACTCCTCTTGCATGACTAGGCAATTTTTTAGTCTCTCCCATGCTGCGTCTCTCTTCCATGCTCTCGGGGGCAGTCTTTGCCCTCAGCCTCACCTTCAGTGGCATGTGAGCAACCTTCACATGCCAATAATAACTCTTATTGCATGTCCCGACAATTATTAAGTGTCGGTAGATCTCTTTTAAAACTTCTCCGAAGTGTTCTTGCATGAGTGGTCAATCACGTAAAGTCTTGAGTGATAAAAAGCAGAAGGAGCAGCGCTTCTTGTTTAGCCATGCCTCCTTCTCTTCGGCTCGTCTGGCTCCCTCTCCCTTCTCGTTCCAGTACCTCTCGCTCATCCTGTGCTGTCTCACCCTCTCGCCTTCTCCCACCGTAAGCGGAAAGAGGTTATGAAGCAATTTTCAACCCAACGAGTACGCAGATTCTTGAGTAATTCCAGCAGATTTAGATCCAATATTCCATATTCTAAAATCTAAAAAACGTGCAACCGCTCAGTGAACGAGTTGGTGAGTGCGTGAGTGAGTGAGTGGGCTAGCGAATGAGTGCGCGTGCTGTGTGACCGTGTGATTTTTTTTTTTATTTGAGTGAGTGAGAAAGTGAGTATGTGTGCTGTGTGCATGTGTGTGGGGCCTCATCTTTAAGGTTACCTCGAGGTGAGTTTGTGGTGATTTTTTTTCAGGTGACATTTTTTTCACTTGGTTAGAGAGATGAGGCAACCACCTGAAATAAAGTCACCACAAACTCGCCTCGAGGTAACCTTAGAGATGAGGTACCACACAGATGCACACAGCACACATGATCACTCCCTCATTTAGTAAAAAAAAACTCAAATCATACGGTCACACAGCACACGCACTCACTCGCTAGCCCACTCACTCACTCACGCACTTACCAACTCGTTCACTGAGCAGTTGCACGTTTTTAAGGTTTTAGAATTTGAAATATGGATCTAAATCTGCAGGAATTACTCAAAGATCTGCGTACTCGTTGAGTTGAAAATTGTTTTGTAACCTTTTCTCGCTTACGGCGGGAGAAAGCGAAAGGGTGAGACATCACTGGATGAGCGAGATGTGTGGAACGGGAAGGGAGAGGGAGCCAGAGGAGCCGAAGAGAAGGAGGCGTAGCTAAACAAGAAACGCTGCTGCTCCTGCTTTGCAACGACGGTACCACAAGCAGCGGTGCTATTTGAGTCACTCACATTTCACGGTGCTATTCTCATCTCAACACTTCCATACCTTATTACCGTTGACGCGCCCTTTTTCCCCCTTCCCTCTCCCCTTCTTCCCATCAGGCTCAACCCCGCCAAGGTGAAAGCTTTCTTGGACCCTATTCACGGGTGGGACCCCAGCCTAGCGTTCGTGATGGGGGGAGCCGTGCTCTTCAATTTAGTCACGTTCCACTTCATTCTCAAGCAGCGGCATCCGCTATTGGCCCCGTCCTTCTCGCTCCCCACTCGGAAAGACATCACCAAGGAGCTAGTCATTGGGTCAGCAATCTTTGGACCGGGTACGTGAGGGGTGTTCTTGGCTGAGAGGCCTTCCAGCATTTATTGAAGTCATAAGTCTGTTTCGTTCATGCTGCTTGTAGCTTATCAGTGCCCTTCATGTGTGATTTTGGTCTCTTGTTTGCACCTTTTCTGTGTTTTTTTTTTCAGGTTGGGGGCTTGCTGGATTTTGCCCGGCACCTGTGCTTGTTAGCGCTGTCACTGGCAAGGTATGAAAGCCGGAAAAGGAAGCAAGCCAAAATTGTTTTAGGGTTGTCATGCACAGTGTGTACTAATATCCATGTTTGGCGTTTTTTTCGCAGGTGCCCATTATCGTGTGGTTGGCTTCTCTTGTTGTTGGGATGCAGGCTTACAACCTTATGTACAGCTAACCTAGAGGGACTAATAATGGAACAATTCTAGGTGGTTTAATGTCCATGGTTTGCTTGTTTACTTGTAATTTGGTAAAGCAATTGAATAAACAGAATTGGTGGGTGAAGTACGGTTCTTGCAGGCGCTCCATTTCTGATGTCAGCCGCATTTATTGCCCCAACAACTGTTTGTCTAGGAAACTGCAGCACACCTTTCTTTGCAATTTGTGCTCTGCCATTCTTCCCCTCTTTCTCATTCGCATCCCAGAGCAAACCTCCGCACTCCCCTCCTCCCCTCCTCCCCGCAAACCTCGTATCCGTCAGCAATCTCCGCCGGAAGCATATTCCCGTTGTCTCCCAGCCACTTTTGAGTTTCCCCGATGGGCCAGCACTTTTGAGTGTATTTCTCTAGTGATTCGTCAAGGTGTAGACATGTGTACACCGAACCTTTACAGTACCAAGGTGAGGACAGTCCAAGCAGCAAACACAACCAGCCCCAAGGTGTCGCAGCGAGCCCCAAACAGTTTCCCAAGGTTGAAGAAGCTGAAAACGATTCTCTAGGAACTGTACGGGTAGCACAAGCACCCTCCTCCATCCATCCACATCCACCCACCCTCGTGAATGCTGCTGGCATTTGGGTCAACGCAAGACAAGATAGGGAGAGGGAAGATAGCTGCTCATTCGTTGTCTCTTCTTCCCTCAACAGTTCATTGCGTGGCTGGCGTGAGCTGCTGCCAGCTTCAGTTGGACATTCTAAAAATGCCGTTTTGCGGAATTGGCGTGGCATGGCTTAGCTCCTCGTTGCCGAGGCCAGTTACAGGAGCATCACGGAAATCGTAGCCGTCGTCCAAGTTTCGCCAATAGGGAAAAGGCAGTTGTGGGATGCTCATGTTGAATCTCTCGCCCTTGTTCTTTCGACAGACGTAGGGCGTGGCGTACGCTGTCGTTTCGACAGAATTCATTTTCACTATTTTTCGGACGCTGTCGCACGCAGCTATCGCAGCCTTTTCATCGAACTGTTCTTTCAAGCAAGCTAGGCGATCGTAGCCGTTGGATCGTCACCGCATGGCGCTGGTTGACCGTTGGACGGCTGATGATACTGCTGAGTTGATCTCGTATTCAACCGAGGACGAGTTCGAGCATTCCACTACCGAATTATACAATGTCGAAACCTATTCAGGCGAACCGTTTCAAGGCGAGGCTTTTGAAGTGATCACGACCAGTGAAGCGGTGTGCATTCACGACGGTTCGCGAATGGCGGCGATTTCCCGAGTAGAAGGCGAATGCGACGAGAACGAGGGTTGGGGAGACGGTGTTCGGCAGGAAAGAGGGCCGGGGAGGGAGGGAGGAGTTGATTCGTACGAAGGACGGCCGGGAAGGCGAGAGGGATTTGTTCCATATGAAGGAGGGTCGGGAAGGCGAGAGGGATTTGATCCATATGAAGGAGGGTCGGGAATGCGGGAGGGGTATGACCCGTATGAAGGAGGGTCGGGAAGACACGGGGGATATGAACCGTACGAAGGAGGGCCGGCAAAGGGGGAATCTTATCGTTACGAAGCAGACGCGCCTGGTTTGCAGCGTCGCGGATTGTTCAGACGCGGCAGCGAGCCGTGCGAGTGGTATTTGATGGATGAGGAGGGCGAAGGGGAGGAGGACAAGGAGCGAGAGGCGTGGGTAGAAGAGGCGGAAGAGGGGGGAGTGGAGAGGGGAGAGGGGGAAGAAGATGGGGAAGAAGTGGGGGAAGAGGGGGAACAGTGGGAAGTGGAAGGGGAAGAGTGGGAAGAGGAGGGGGAGGGCGACATGTACTGTGTTCGCGCGCGTTCTGTTACTCAGGCTTTCCCCATGTCCAGTTCACTCCAAGGAGAATCAATGCACATTCGTAGCAATAAGAGCCTCTTTCCGAAGTCGTTATCTGGGCCTAACTTCCAAATCCCTTCCGCTCCGCCCGCTCCTTCCGTCCGCCGATTCCTCCACCACTCCTCCGCCCCAAGCCCTGCAGCCTCCACGCATCCCGCGACGCCCCCAGGAGCGGAAAGCCGCGTGCTTCCCCCTACGGCGGGCGCGCAGGGGACTCTACTCCGCAAGTCCTCCGCTCCCCCCTTGCGCGCCTCTGCCCCTGCGACCCGCATTTTCGCGGAAACATACGCCCCTGGGTGGGGTTCGTTCAGCGAACGCGCGGAGAATACCAGTGCTACTTTTGCGGATACTGCTGTAGGTACTACAGCGGATATTGCTTCGGGTACTACCGCGGATGCTGCTGCAGGAATCGCGTGTAAAGATGCCACTTTAACGCGCAGACGCACAGTGGGAGCGATGCCGGTGTTTGGAAGCCGATTGGTGGCTGACACGTGGGGGAGCAGCGGCGAGGAAGAGGAAGAAAGGGGAGAGGAACAAGGGCGCGGGGGAGAGAGTGCGGAGGAAAGGGTAAACGAGGGGGCACAGCAGCAGAGGCGGGATGGGGACGTCGGGGAAAACCGTGGCAGGCGGAAGGGGAACAGACGGCAGAAAGGGGAGCGATGGAAAAGCGGTCCCTTGCTGAGCTCGTCCGCTGCTGCTGCTGTGACTGCTGCGGCAGCATCAGCAACAGCAGCTGCAGCAGCAGCCTTCCCGGCTTCCTCGAGTTTCTCTGACCGCAATTCTCACCGCCTTCAGCAGCAGCAGCAGCAGCAGCAGCAAGTGTGGCGGCGAAAGCTGAGTGTTGAAACGATAACAGGCCTCAAGAGTAGCACCGGTTCCCAGGCAGGCAGTGGGGGGGGTGAATGGTGTGATTCAGGTGATGGAACAGATGGGGGAGCAAGGGGGGAAGGAGGTCAAAAGCACAGCTCCGTAGGCTCACGAGGAGTGGCGAAGAGAACACAGCGTGCAGCATCAGCAGCAGCAGACGAATTGGCAGCAGAGGAAGCAGCATCAGGAGGAAGCTTTGCAGAAGGAGCAGTGCCGTTGACCCCACAGACGCCTGTGCCGGGTGGCAGAGGGCTGTGCTGGCCCGCCCCTAGAAAAGGGAGCAGCGGCAGCAGCAGTTGCGGCACCAGCAGCAGTGGTATTGGTCGCAGCTGTAGCAGTATTGGCCGCAGCTGTAGCAGCAAAAGCGCAGATGAAGCCACGGAATCTGTCGCAGGCGCTGATGATTTATTACACTGTGAGGAGCCTTGGAGAGCGATTGAAGTGAGGTGTACGGGTGACGTTGGTGGTACTATTGACGAGGAGAGGGTGTTGGGGGATGAAGAGGGTGGAGTGAGCAAAAGGGAGGGGAGGAGGGGGGGTGCCAGTAGGAGGACAACAAGTGATGTGCCCAAGGCGGTGACGTGGGCTGATGTGCGATACAAAGCGGTGGAGAGATTTTCCCCTGCTGTGCCGAAATCAGCCTCCCTTTCTGAGCGTGCGTCAGTTCCTGATGTGGGTTCGGTTTCAGGTTCCGCTTCAGGTTCGAGTTCAGGTTCAGGTTCGGGTTCAGGTTTGGTTCAGCAGCGTCGCACGCAGCATCAGCGCAGGTGGAGTGTGGCAGAAGCAGTAGTAGAGAACGTGACTGGCAAGGCATGTGATGGGATGGAGGGAGAATGTGATGGGGAGGAGGGAGAGCATGGTGGGGCGAGGTGCATGGAGCATGGTGAGCTGAAGGAGACGGGTAAAGAGACTGTGTGCGAGCATTCCAAGCATGGTGATGGGAATGCTGGCAATCAGGAGTGCGCTCAGCTTGATGGGTGCGATGAGCGTCAGCAGCAGCATGGGCGGAAGGAGCAGCAGGGGCAGCAGCAGGGGCAGCAGCAGGTGCAGGAGGAGTCAAGGGAGCAGAGGCAAGCCCAGCAGGAACGAAGGCAGCAGGGGCATGGGAAGGCACGCAGCGGGCCCCTGCAGCCTCCGAGGGGGGAGAGGCGGTCCGTGCACTGGCGGAGTGGCAGTGCTGTTGAACGGTCACGCTCCCATGAACACCCACACTCACACTCGCACTCACACTCCCACTCACACTCGCACTCGCACTCACACTCGCACTCGCACTCACTATCCCACTCGCACTCCCACTCACCCTCACGCTCACACTCACAGTCCTCCTCCCTCACCCCTCCTTCGTGTGAAGGGTTGGGGGAAACGGACTCACAGGGCCATCAGGGGTATGCAAGGGCAGGGGAGGGAGGCCAAGCCAAAGGAGGAAAGGTGAATGGAGGGGTAGGAAGGCACGGGCGCAGCAGGAGCTTGGTGACTCTCCGAGCCAAGCATCACAGCAGCACCAGCACCGCTTCTGGTGATGACCTAGGCGGGGCGGACCTCTTCCCTGCAGCTGTGCCTGGCTCGTTCCTCTCTGCTGCCTCTGCGGCTGCCTCGGCTGCTGCCTCGGCTGCAGTGTGTGCGGCAAGCTCAGCAAGCCGAGTGGTGCTGCAGAGAATGCAAGGGCCAGGGCCAGGGCCGTTCAGCCACGGCTCTACTACTCACACAGGGGTTGCTGGTAGCAGCAGCAGCGGGGAGGCAGTGAGGAGGCGGAAAGGCAGGAGCGTGAGCAGCATTGGGTTAGACTTCCAGGCACACACACTCATTCCCAGTGGTAGCAGCCACAAGGGGAAGGGTTTCCCCAGGCATAGGCGTACTCTGGGTGAATTCCACCACCAGAGCACCGTTCCTGCTACTGACTGTGATGATCTTGATGGTGGTGTTGGTGGTGCTGGCAGCAGGAGTCCCAGCGGTGATTCGCCTGGGAGGTTCCGCCATTCGAGGCAAGCCAGCACTGGCAGCCGTGCCTTGGTTGCTCTCACCAGCTGCACCTTCCCCCGCGATCCCAGCCCCCTCTCCTCCCCGGCTCGCCCTGCCACTGCCAGCCCTAACGGCCGTGCCAGCAGGGGGCATGCAAGTAGTGGGCATGCAAGTAGTGGGCATGCAAGCGGCCAGAGAAGCAGTCTCAAGAGTCCTCTAGGGTCCCCCTCTCTCCACACACTCTCTCCTTCCCTCTCTCCGTCTCGCTCTCCCTCCCGCCGCTTCCCCACACTCTCCTCCTCGCCTTTCTCACGGTCCCGGCCCCCCTCCTCTCCCTTCCCTCCCTCCTCTTCCATCTCCCCTGTATTCTCCCCCACACTCTCGCCTACCCTCTCTCCCACTCACTCCCCCTCTCGCTCCCGCAACAGCAGCCCTGTTCCTCGCCTTCGGGCCTTGAACCTTCCGGGCCTGTTCCTCCGAGCCTGCAGCCCAGGCTCGTCACCCAACAGAGGCTCGTCGCCCAGCCGAGGCTGCATGTCAGGCCCGGCGCCGAGCTGCTTTGGATACATGGGCAGTCCCCAAGGATATGGGGGCAGGTCACGTGGTAGTAGCAGTGAGAGCAGCAGCGAAAGTAGTGAAAGTGATGGTGGCAGTGATAATGGGGATGCGATAAGTGGTAGTGAGGGTGGAAGCAGTGTTGGTAACGATTGTGGGGATGATGGTGAGAGCGAAAGCAGTGGCAGCGAGGGTGGCAGCGGCATTGGGGATGATGGTGGGGGTGATGGGCCGAGCAGTCCTGCTGGCAGCATGGTGCTGCATTCCGATGGTGAAGAGGATGGGGAGGAGCGTGGAGAAGAGTGTGGGGAGGAAGGTGGAGAGGAGGGTGGGGAGGAGGGTGGGGTGGAAGGTGGGGAGGAGGATGAGGAGGAAGATGAGAAGGAGGTCAGTGAGGAAGGTGGGAAGGAGGGTGGGGAGGAGGAGGCTGAAGAAACGAGAGAGGTAAGGAGTGGAGAGGAAAATGGAAGTGAGGGAAGAGAGGGGGTACAGGGAGAGGAGGGAGAAGGAGAGCAAGGAGGAGGAGGGGAGGGTGCCGTAACTCCGCTCATCAATGCTCCCACCATCTCCCTTGGTTCCTCTATCTCTCAACCTCCGACCCAGTCAATCAGCTCAACACCTCAAGAACACAACCTCTCACGCCCAGCCACCCCAATTACTCACCAGTCCAGTGCTGCTCGCAGCTTTCTCCAGGAGCTGAGTGCAAGTGCGAGCCATTCACAGGGAGTGGGCATGACTCGAAATCCCTCGCCCTCTCGCCCAGCCACTGCTGTGACTCGCCAGCCCAGTGCTGCTCGCAGCTTCCTGCAAGAGCTGAGTGCGAGCCGGCCACAGGGAGTGAGCATGGGGGTCAGCAGAGGGGGAGGGCGAGGGAACAGCGCGAATGTTGTAAATTTGACTGCAGGTGCAAGTGGTGTGGAGAGAGGCGGAGGTGGTGATGTGAACAGTGAGCCTCTTGAAGGCGGTCAGTACAGAGGAGGCAGGCGGCGTTCCTTGTCTCCATTAGGACCGCAGCCGTCCGCCAGTAGCCCAGGTCCCAACCCAGTGGCAGATTGCAGGCCTGCTGCTGGCATGCACAGGCAGCAGCAGCAGCAGCAGCAGCAGCAGCAGCAACAGCAGCAACAGCAGCAGCAGCAGCAGCAGCAGCAGCAGCAGCAGCAGCAGCAGCAGCAGCAGCAGCAGCAGCAGCAGCAGCAGCAGCAGCAGCAGCAGCAGCAGCAGCAGCAGCAGCAGCAGCAGCAGCAGCAGCAGCAGCAGCAGCAGCAGCAGCAGCGGCGGCGGCGGCAGCAGCAGCAGCAGCAGCAGCAGCACTACCAACCTCGGGCACAGCTAGTCCGCGCTCACAGCACTGCCGCGCCTCATGCAAGCAGGGCAGCAGCAGCTTGTGCGAGTGGCATGCATGGGGAGCAGCAGCAGCACTCGCAGATGCATCTGGTCCGCGCTCACAGCACTGCGGCGCCTCTTGGGAGCAGGGCAGCGGCAGCAGCAGCAGCAGCAAGTGCCTCTGACGTGTACAGGCAGGAGCTCAACTCTCCATCGCACCTGGTCCGCACTCACAGCACTGCCGCGCCTCATGCAAGCAGGGCAGCAGCAGCAGCAGCAGGTTCCTCTGACGTGTACAGGCAGCAGCAGCATCTCTCTTCATCCCAGCTGGCCCGTTCCCACAGCACTGCAGCAGGTCCAGGAAGCATTGCAGCAGCAGCAAGTGCAGCAGCAGCAGCAGCAGCAGCAGCAGCAGCCACAGCAGCAAGGGCTGCTGGGATGCCTTTGGAGCACGTTCGTCGAGTCCCGTTTCTTCCCCACATGCGGCCAGCACCACTTCGTTCTTCCAGTATGAGCTTGATGGGTGAGTCTATTCAGGGGATGAACGGGGAGAGGCAGCTTATACAGGGGAGGGACGGAGAGAGACGGTTTACACAGAGGATGAGGAGCGGAGGGATGGTAGGAGTCAGGGCAGAGGGCATGGGTGGTGGGAGGGAAGGAGCAGGACGAGGAGGAATGGGAGGGAGAGGAGGTATTGGAGATGGGAGGGTGATGCGGCCGGTGACTGCTGGAGGGAGCATGGGTGTGGTGGAAAGGCATGGCGTGAATGGTGGTGGGGACATAGGTGGTGCTGCCGGCATGGGTGGTGGTGCAGGTATGGGAAGCAGAGGTCGTGCTGGAAGGATGGGCCCCATGCACCATGCACACATGAACAGGATGGGTATGAGACGGTGTGGCAGCTTGAACATGTCCGCTGACGTGGACGTGCCTTATTGGGCTAGTCATGCTGATGACGTGGACGGGTTTCAAGAAGAACTGCATGGAGGGGCAGAAGATGGATGGGGGAGTGGTGCTGAGTCAGCAGTGTGGAACCACGGACCAGCTTATGTCAGCATGCCACAGCGCCCGTACTCTTCCGGGGGGGCTCCCATGGGAGTGGCTAGAGGGCGGCACATGCGAGCTGCACCAATGAGCATTGGGGGATCTGATGTGCCTGTTGGGGGGTATGCTATGGCCATGAGTGGTGGAGTGAACCTGCATGGGAGGGACATGGGCATGGGTATGGCCACGGTGGGCCTTCATAGACACATGAGCATGAGCATGGCCCCACATGTATCACATTATGGAAATGGGACGGCTGGCTATTGTGAAGATGAGGTTGAGGATGAGTGTGGGGGCGATTCGACTCGTTTCAGGGAGTCTGCATCACAGAGATACACCCGTGGCCTTGACCGGAGCAGTAGTTCAGTAGCATTTTTTCCATCAGAGTAGTTTCAGATCTGATGCGCTCTAGTAGGCTCAGAGGGCTAAGGCATGGGAAGATGGATGCAAAGCGTATTACATTCTTGAATGCTTGACATGTAAATTATATTCCTAGGACCACTGTACACTTTCGATCATAGTAAAACACAACTCTGGACGCGGATTGGTTGCTCGCTTTACATCCTCGCTGTAAACCCCTGGGTGTAACGGAACCGCCGCGATGGCTGTACTGCACGAAACCGAACCGAACCCTACAGAAATGTCGCGGATGGCTTGAACGGCGAAGATCCCAAAGCGCGAACGTCGAAGTTCCCTAAGCCGGCGTTCCCCTCCGTCCCGTCCTACCCTCCTTTCCCTTCACTTTCCCTAATCAGCCTTGACTTACTTCCCTAGGGACTGCCGATTACCACTTGCCAGCATCACTGTAGCAGCCATAACGCACCAGCAGCATTTTAGCATTTCCCGGAACTCCCCGCTCCGCCCGTCTCCGCTCTAACTGCTCCAACCACAGCCGTCCAGGATTATTACCTGGCGACTAAGCTGCTTGCCGTCGCGACACCGTCTATTTATCTTATCTTGCTCTTTATTCTGTCTTCTCCTTGACAACCGGACCGTTCTCTCAGTGTTACTCGAATTTGTGTCTCGTTTCTGCACGAGTCAATGAGACACAGTTCTTGCCATCCCGTAACCTAACTTAACTGATTTCTAGTTAGTGAAGGAAAAAGACCGTTCCGACTGTCTGGTTCGGGCTTTCAGGTTCAGATATCGCGGTTCTGAAGTTCAAGTTGCGACGAAAGGTTCCAACTTTTAGTAGCTTTGGACAACTCGTGTGTAGCCGCCGCAAGTGCTGCGTGCACTCAGACTGCCATTTTGCGCGACTGCTACCGCGCACGCGACTGCTACCGCTCACTTCGCGCGACTAAGCGAGTGCTGGTCTATAACCAATCTAGTGTTCGTTTAGACGCGTAACACTTCCCGCCATCGTCATCGGGCTCGTTCGTTAACCACTCCGCCGTCACCACCGGCCGGCGCTCGCGCTCAACTTAATCCGCCGTAGTCACTGGGCGGCGTTCGCGCTTAACTTATTCCGCCATCGTCAAGCCGCGATGGCGTCCGCCATGCCCAAGTCGCTGTCCGCGCGACGCGTGTGGTTCGACCAGTTCGTCTCGCCGGGTCGCGTGCTCACCGCGTCCGTGCTCGGACGACCGACAGGTGACTCTCTCTAACCATGCTTCGTCTCACCTGTTGGAAAAATCTTACGGCTCTGATTGTTGTTGGAATCGCACGGTGGTGATTTCGTACACAATCTTTCCTCATTGTCGTGCGCTCCGTATAATTTCTCTCTCATCCTCCCACGTTCTTCCGCAAGCCTCCCATCAACTCATTCTTCTCACTCTCCTCACTCTCGTTATTACGTTTCGCATTTCCTCCTCCCCCCCAAATCCCACCGCAGAAAAACTCGAATCGCTGTACAAAATCGGCGGGTTACTAGGCCAGGGCCAATTCGGCGTTACATATCTATGCACGGAGCTGGCGACGGGCAAAGAGTACGCGTGCAAGACGATTGCGAAGAAGAAACTGATCACCGCGGAGGACGTGGCAGACGTGAAACGCGAGGTGGCGATCATGCACCACCTGGCGGGGCACAAGAACATCGTGTGTATCAAGGGCGCGTACGAAGACGCGTACGCGGTTCATATCGTCATGGAGTTGTGCTCGGGCGGGGAGCTGTTCGACCGGATCATCAAGAGGGGGTACTTCAGGTGCGTACGACGAGAGGCCGTACGCGGGTCAAGTTGTAACGCAGCGTTTACCAGGAGATAAATTGTGAAACCACTGTGTGGTTTCCTCTATCTGTTCATAATATCGTCATGGAGTTGTGCTCTGGTGGGGAGCTGTTCGACCGGATCATCAAGAGGGGGTATTTCAGGTGCTTTGTATACGTAGGTACGACTACTGTGACAGGGAGCCAAGGGAGGGTCCGTAGGATTAGGAATATGAATGAAGAGGAACCGTACGCGGGTAAAGTTTCCTTTCCGTAAAGCAGCCTTCCCAAAAAAACAATGGTTAATTTATGCATTACGTGTCTGTCCTGATCCTCCTCTACTCTTCCCCTTTCCCTCCCTCCCGCCCTTCCGTTTCCTCCCCTCGCTCCGTTTTCTCCCCCTCCTCCGTCCCCTCTCCCACCCTCCTCCCGGGCTTCCAACCCTTCTCCCACCCGCCCGCACTGATTTTTCCTTGTCAACAACTTCACTCCCATCAGTGAGCGGCAGGCGGCCACATCGATTCGCACGATAGCGCGGATAGTGGAGACGTGCCACTCGCTGGGCGTCGTGCACCGCGACTTAAAGCCCGAGAACTTCCTTCTCGCAGACAGGACGGAGAATGCCGACCTCAAGGCCACGGACTTTGGCCTTTCCACCTTCTTCAAGCCAGGTGGGCGGCTGAGTGCGTTTGAGATGCGTTTGGTCACCTGGAATTTCCATGCATCCTCCCTTTTTCTCTCGTCCTCCATAACACCTGCTTTCCTACATTCCTCCCTCCCTCCCACACGCACGTTCCCTCTCTCTTCCGCCCACCCACCTGCGCGCTTGCCCCATCCCCAATCCACTTCCCGTAATCCCTTATTCCCGCTCAGATGAGCTCCTATCGGACGTGGTGGGCTGCCTCTGCTGTATGTTCTTCCTCCCTCTCACTCCCGCTACTCATACCATGCCCCACCAGCCGCTCAACCATCCATCCCTCCATCGCTCCCACCCGCCATCAGGCGAGTTCCTGTCGGACGTGGTGGGCAGCCCTTAGTACGTGGCACCGGAGGTGCTTCTTGTTCAACCCTCCAACAACCCATTTTCTCGTGGTCGCTCCTACCATGATCCATCGCTCCCACCCGCCATCAGGCGAGTTCCTGTCAGACGTGGTGGGCAGCCCTTACTACGTGGCACCGGAGGTGTTTCCCCTTCCATACCTCTCACCATGGTCTCAGAGCCGCTCCAACCATCCGTCCATGCGCCCATCCGTCCATTCACCCTTCCCCCCACCAGGCGAGTTCCTATCAGACGTGGTGGGCAGCCCGTACTACGTGGCACCGGAGGTGTTGAGGCGGCGCTACAGCAAGGAGGCGGACATCTGGAGCATGGGGGTCATCCTCTACATCCTGCTGTCTGGCGTTCCGCCATTCTGGGCTGGTAAGAGGGGTGCATGCATGCTTCCTTTAGGGCAAGTGAGAGGGTGAATGCAGGGAGGCAGGCAAGCAGGCATGTTCATAACCACATCGTTACAGCAAGGAGGCGGACATCTGGAGCATGGGGGTCCTTCTCTACATCCTGCTGTCCAGTGTTCCGCGCTCCCTTCCCCCTGTTCTTCCTCCCACCCTTTCCCTCTCGCCCCTTCCATCCACTCTCTCCTGTCCACTAGAAACGGAGCAGGGGATATTCGAGGCAGTGCTGAGGCGCAGCTCAACTTCGAACCTCTCAATCGCTCTGCCTGCTCACTCACTCGCCCTTGTCGCCCTCTCTCCTCTTCTTTCACCCACCAGACACGGAGCAGGGAATATTCGAGGCGGTGCTGAGGGGGCAGATGAACTTCGCCACACAGCCGTGGCCCTCAATCTCCTCTGATGCCAAGGACCTCATCCAAACCATGTGCTGCCTTCCTGCCTGCCTCCCTGCCTGCCTTCCTTCCTGCCTTCCCTCTGCCCCAACTCCCTCTCTCGCTCCCCCCTCCTCTCCTTCTCCCACCCTGCGCCCCTTCCTTCCTTCCGTTCTTCCTTCCCCCGCCCGCCTTCTCTCCCTTTCACTACCCCTGCCACTCCCCCCGCCAGACACGGAGCAGGGGATATTCGAGGCGGTGCTGAGGGGGCAGATGAACTTCGCCGTGAAGCCGTGGCCGTCCATCTCCTCCGATGCAAAGGACCTCATCCGCCGCATGTGCTGCCTCGACCCCGCCCGCCGCCTCACCGCCTACCAAGTGCTCTGTGAGTCAAAGTGCTGCTGCTGTGAGTCAAGTGCTGCTCCTACTGCTCCTCTTGCTCCTCTTGCTGCCGCCGCATGTGCTGCCTCGACCCCGCCCGCCGCCTCGCTGCCTACCAAGTCCTTTGTGAGTGCCTTGCTGTCACCTCCTGCCTCTGTTGTTGCTGCTTCTTTGAGTCACCAGCTGGTGGCGGTGCTGCTGTTTCTGCTGCTACCTCTGAACGGGAGTGTCTTGTCTCGCCCTTCAAAACCCTTTATCTCCTCGTTCCCCTCAGCCCGCCCTCCTTTCCCCCTCCTGGGTGTTCCAGACCGGCCTCTAAACGCAGGCATTTCTATCTAAAGTCTACCTTTTTTCCCACCTTGCACCCCATTCCCTCCTCCTTCCGCCCTCCCCCTCAGGCCACCCATGGCCCATGGGTGGCTCAGGACGGAGTGGCACCCGGCCGGCCTCTGGACGCGGGGTCCTCTCTCGGCTCTCAAAATCCTATCCTTCCCCCACCATGCCCCCCCGCTCACTCCTCCTCCCTCCCCCCCACACTCCTCCCCCTCCTCCCCCTCCTCCCTTTCAGCCCACCCGTGGGTGGCTCAGGATGGAGTAGCACCTGACAGGCCTCTGGACGCGGGGGTCATATCTCGCCTCAAGCAATTTTCCGCAATGAACAAGCTCAAGAAGATGGCCCTGCGGGTGAGTGGGATGAACATTGCTCTTAGGATTATTCGCCTGGCCTTTAAGTTAAGTTGCGGGCTCTGAACGCGGGGGTCATCTCTCGTCTCAAGCAATTTTCGGCCATGAACAAGCTAACAGAGATGGCTCTGCGGGTGAGTTTTGTAGTCGAATCAAAAGCCTTGTCTTCCTTCATGCCATTTTTCGGGTGAGTGAAATCGGCTTTGGGGGTGAGTGAATCAAAAGATGGCTCTGCGGGTGAGTGAAATCGTCTCTCACGGCTACACAGGGAAACTGGCCTTTGCAGTGGCTTTGAGAAGATGGGACACGGACAGGAGCGGCATCATCTCTGTCAAGTACCCCCACTCGTTCTCCCCGCTCTCCCATGTACATGCTCTGCCCTGCACAGGTGATCGCAGAGTCCTTGTCTGAAGAGGAGATCTCGGGGCTAAAGCAGACGTTTGAGATGATGGACACCGACAGGAGCGGCACCATCACGTTTGAGGAGCTCAAGGCGGGGCTGCAGCGCATCGGAGCGAACATGCAGGACAGCGAGGTGCAGGAGCTGATGGACGCGGTGAGTCAGAGGGGGCAATCCTTGGGAGCAGGGGGGGGGACTGGGGAACTGGAGCACGGGGAAGGGGGCGTGGGGAAGGGGGCGTGGGGAAGGGCTGCAGCGCATCAGGGCGAACATGCAGGACAGCGAGGTGCAGGAGCTCATGGACGCGGTGAGTGTTGTTTGGGCAAAAGAGAGGGGGAAGACGGAGGGGGTGTGCAGGTGCAGGATCTGGGATGCGGGCAGTGCAAGCAAGCGGGTCTGCAGCGCGTCGGGGCGAACATGAAGGACAGCGAGGTGCGAGAGCTGATGGATGGTGGGACTAGAGAGGGAGGGGACTCCTTTTGGTGACTTCATGCATTTCGTTCCTTTTCTCTTGTTCCTAATAGGCTGAATCGGATGACAACTGCATTGACTTGTGGAGAGGTTTTAGCAGCCACGATGCTTTTGACCAAGGTAGAACTTAAGAAGGGTTAAGAAAACACTCTGTTCAAGTTTTTTCTCATATTTATCCCTTCCGCTCCTCCCTAACAGGCTGACTTTGACGGCAACGGGATGATTGACTATGGGGAGTTGCTAGCGGCCACGATGCATCTGAACAAAATACTGTGTGAGAAGATACTAAAGGGAATTCCATTCAATCCCTTGTCACATTTTTCCCCTTCCTCTCCGCTCCTCCCTCACAGGCTGACTTTGACGGCAACGGGATGATTGACTATGGGGAGTTTCTAGCGGCCACGATGCATTTGAACAAGATCGAGCGGGAGGAGACGCTGTTTGCGGCGTTTTCGCATTTTGACAAGGACAGCTCGGGATTCATTACAGTGGACGAGCTGCAGCATGCTTGTAGGGAGTACAGCATCGATGAGGACTGCATTGTTGAAACGATGCGCGACGTCGACACCAACAATGTAAGCGGAAGCACTGATGATAGTTCTGAGACGTATCAAAGCATGCTTGTAGGGAGGACATCATCGATGAGGACAGCATTGTAGAGACGATGCGCGACGTCGACACCAACAATGTAAGCTCTAACATTGGAAGCCCTAATGCTGGAAACATTAACTTCGTATACGCTAACATTGGATTGGAAGCAATAACAGTGTAAGCACTTTTTGTTTTGAACCACTGGTAAGCTTCTGCTGACATTTCTGCTTACTGTGTTGCATCCTTTGGCTGTCTCTTCTGGAACAGGATGGGCAGATTGACTACAACGAATTTGTGACTATGATGAGGGCTGGGAACGGTGGCATTGGTCGGAAGAGCCTGGGCGGTAGCTGGACAAGTGGGAAGCTTCTGAGAGACTTGGTGGAAGCTGCACGGCAGCAGCAACAACAGCAGCAGCAACAACCAGAACCCATGGTGTCTTGAGTGTATGTTGACTCATGTGTCATGAGTATGACTTATAAGACATGGCAATGCTGCTGGTTGCTGCATTGATTGATGGATGACTAGGTGGGGTGAAAGCACCCTGTTGTAGCATATGACACGAGCTCATCTCATGGATAAAACTAGCACGAGCTTTACGAGCCCAAGGGCAACGTTGGGTGCTTGAGGGGTGTTGATAACGTTGTCGTGCTTATGCATCTCAGTAAGCAATACTTACAGTGAAAATCGTCAAGCTAAGCTAAGTGTTTTCTAAAAGTTTCCATTCTTAAAACACCGTTAGTGTATTGGCGGTAATTGATTTCACGTGAAATCTAATCGCATTCTTGAAACGCCACATGTTCTTTTTGCCCAATCGGAAACCTGGTCAACTGATTTCACGTGATCTCTAATCGAAACCGCGTTACTGGTCAGGTCAGCGACGCTTCCGCGTTCTCCTTGTCTTCACGGTTTTGCTGCAGAACCCTGGTTGCTCGTGCGGTACGCCCCCGGCGCGGAGCGGGTTTCACAATCCCGACTGTGGGGATGCATCACGCTGGGTAGCAATTTGCAATCGCACTGTAACTGGGGGCAACAACTCACCCGCGTTTGGGGAGTGGGGGAGGGCAGCTCTCCCGCGTTTCCCTCCTGGCAGGCCTCACGCGTTATGTTATGGCGTGCTTGAGTTGACCCTAAAGTTGACGCGAAAAGGTAAGGCCCAAACAGTGTACAGTGGATGGAATCTTTACTGATCACTGTCTGCGACATGTGGCGAAAGATCATAAGTTTGGATTTCGACAGTGCGCGAAACTGCGATCTTGAGAGAGGACGTATCTGCGAAACGGCGAAGAATACAGTACTGTATCGTTAATCTACACAGTGAACGATAGAGTGAAAAGGACCATATAATCCGCACTGTATGCGAAAAGGCGAAACGGCGCACGAGATTTACGCCGCATGCGACCTACCCAAAGGACACACCATATTTCCACTGTCGCGAAGAAATCGGCGAAAATGCTCGGCCCTCGATTTTCGCAGTCTATCATTTCAGCCCTTCGTAGCATAATCCAGTCCAAATGCTTGCCCTTTCGCCAAGCGCGTACCCGTGTTACCAAATCCGCATGCGCTTTCGGCTGTTGGAATTTACGCATGTTCAGCCCTTCCACGCGGTTCTCTGCTCTGCTTTGCGCATGCTGCTCTTATTCGTGTACAGTAAACTCTGGACTGTTTCCCCAAAACCATCAATATCTTAGGTAGCGTCAAAGATCCGCAAAGCGACAGTCTCTAACATTCGAGCTCTGCTGCTCCTTGTCCTTGCCTAGCAGATTGGCAAGCAAGCTGCTAAGCGCCACGCCTTCTGCTGCACTACATTAGACGCTGGCGTGAAGTTTCGTTCCCATTCTGAAAACGCAAAGCCTGCATTCAGCTGCCGCGTAAGTGATTAGCCTACCAAGTTCGTAGTTGTGTGATACTTGCTCGCACAAGCGCCCCTTGCGGCGCAACCCCCTTGCAGTCCCCACATGGCTCCGCAATTAATGGCTCCGCAACTCATGGCGCCACAGCCGCACGAAGCCCCTTTGCTCCGTCTCCCATCCGCCAAAAGGCTGCGACTGTTCGGGCAGCAAATCGACGCTTTGGAAGCGTCGCCCCCTGTCGCTCAACCTCCCAGCCACTGCTCGCCCTGCGACACTACTAGGTCGTCGCTCACGTCGCCCACGTCGCAGACGCTTTCTGGATCGAGCAGCTCAAATTCCACCGAGCGGTTACCGCCCCCGCTTTTTCCGCTTTCCGACTCGATGCAAGACCCCATGACGGCTTCTTGTTATCACGCTCCGGATCCTTGCCACGTGTCGTCATCTACGCCGTCACTCTCGGATCTCGGCGACGACATCCTGCGCCAGATTCTCCAGGCGATGCGGCCGACGGCGTGGGATCTCAGCCGGCTTGCTTGCGTTAGCGTGACGTGGAAAAACCTCTGCTACAGCCGGCAATTTTGGACGAAGCTTCGCATCGGCTCTGGTGCCATGCACCCCGGTATGGCGAAGCTCGCGCCGCGCTGCAGGAGCCTCACGGACCTCTTCATTGACGACCCGCGGTGCGAGCTCCACGTTCTTAATCCCATCATTGTCGCGTGCGCCTCGTCGCTGCGCCGCGTCGTCCTGGACTGCGATTCGATTGCCGCGACGGCGGTAGCCGCGGCTCCGGGACCCGCCGCCGCCGCCGCAGCCGCCGCCGGAAACGGCGCCCCTCGCGGGAACGCGGAATCGTCGATCTGCAACCTGCTATGGCTCATCTCGCTCCATTGCCGCAACGTCTCGAAAGTAGAGCTTCTCTCCTCGCGCGCTTCCGCGGCAGCCGCAGCAGTGAACTCCGCGAGAACCGGCGCAGGGAACGGCGCGGGCAACGGCGCACGAAACGGCGCTGTCAACGGCGCAAACAACGGCGCCATCATTACCCCTACCACGGGGTCCGCGTTCGCGAGCCTCCTAGAGGCGCGACTCATGTGGTTCCTCACGACCGCGTTCCGCGGGATCCGGCACTTCTCGTGCGTGCTCCCGAACAGCATGACGACGCAGACGACGTGCCTGATGGCGATCGCATGGCGTCGCCTGTCCTCCCTGCGACTCCACTGCGGCGCGCTCCAGTTCGCCGACCTCCTGGCGCTGCGGAAATGCGGCGCGCTCAAGAGCCTCGAGCTTATAGGCGGCAAACTGGAGGATAAGTCAAAAACGGCTGCTGCACCCCTGGGTTCTGATTCGCAGGGGCAGCCTGTGGAAGGGGAGAGATTGGCTAGTCTGGAGGTGCTTGTATTGAACGGGTGTGACTATGACCCTTTGACTGTGGCCAACCTTGCCTGGCATGCGCCGAAGCTGCAGCGAATCATAGTGAAGGGTGGGAGTCGAGATATCAGTGCGGCACAGAGCAGTTTTGTCACGGGGAGCAACGTATCATTTTGCCGAAGCAACAGCAGCAGAAGCAGCAGCAGCCATGCCATGCCCCGTGGGTCTTCTGCGGTGGGGGAGAGCAGAGCAGTTGGAGCTCTACCTTCGGGCACAGCCACAGCTGGTCTCCCAGTCACTCCGATCGTCTCTCCACGTGCCATGGTTGCAGCGGCTGCAGCAGCAGCGATTACGGCGCGGACAGGCAACCAGGCGGCAGGACATTCAGAATGGCTGGCTGGGATAGTTGATGCATTGACTCGCCAAAATCGCACGGGTACTCTGTCAGTACCTGGCAATAACGGGACAAATCTCGTGTCGTCTGATCCGTTTGTCAGACTAAGAGCAAGCCTTGGCGAGGTGGGAAGGGGCCACGTGAGAGTTGTTTCGCCCCTCCTACCAGCCCCATTAAGTAGATAATGGTCCGTAGCTTGGCCCAGTTCATCTAGATATGAAGGTGTTTACTCCTGTCATTCGTATTCCATTCTATCTCAATGGGAAGTGGAATCTGGCCCAGAGACTAGAGCATGTTTAGAGGTTTCTAACGAGTGAAAAGTTGAAAGTATGCCCTGGTCACAGTCCATCACTGGTGGAACAGGGACCCCAGAAATAACTTATACCGCATGTGGCTAGAGGAACCAAGACATTGCAGACTACCGTAATGTGCTAGTAAATACTATTTTTTTTGCTGGATAAGTTTTTGCAATGTATATTGTCACATCGTCGGCTTATAACGCGCAATTTCTCCTCTTCGTCAATACAGAAGAGATCGTCGACACACCCGCCCTCAGTCACCGTCTATGTTGCCTGCATTGGTTGGTTGAATTTCGTATGCTGTTGCTCATTTGATGGTGTGTTGGCATGTGATGGGAACTGTTGATCATGTGACAGTGCACAGCGTCGCACTCGCACAGCTGTGTGCGTGTTGGGTTGGGAAAGGACTTGTTGGGTTGGCTGGCCACTGGCGAAAGCTCGTTCTTGCCAACACATGCTGCAGCTTTTGATTCGCGTTGAGAACTCGAGATTCGAATACAACAACTCGATCCAAAAGTTATCAGAAAAGTGCACCTCACGGATCCAACCGTGCTTTCGAGATCCTCGCTGGGACTTTTCTCCTGATGACGTGGCTGTGCCGACGAGTTCACGAAATTGTTCGTCAGCTGTAAGCTTGCGGGCGAATCGTTGACATTGAGTTTCGTCTGATTAGGGTAACCTATGCCAGTCTGGATATTTTACAGCTCAATACCTGTTCATATCCAGAAACCCTTGCATGCAACACATAACCGCGTCTCGACTCGATACTGCTTTCGTTTCCACCAACATCATCCTCTGCCCTGCTACAGTGCCCGCACCATGTGCGCTGCTGCTGCTCTGCCCCAAAGGCCCAGCGGCCCTCACTTACACTCCCTTCTGAAATGCGCGTCAAAAGTTTTTTCACTTGCCCCACACAGCCTTCAGGCCTCGTCTTTCCCTCCCCTGTCTCGAGTTCCCTTCCCTCCTTCCCTTCCCCCCCTCCCCGCACCTCGGTGAACCGATCTTCCCTCAAACATCTCCAGCTGGCGCTTCTACCCTATCCGATTCCCCTCCCCACGTATGCCGTTGCTCCACCGATCTGTGTGACTCATTGAACACTATTTGAAGTGGCGTCAGAGTTTGAATTGTCAGCTTCAAACTTTCACTCATTCAGAACTTCCTTCGTTCACTCCTAGGTATTCTAAGTTCTTTCCGTCCACGACTTGCATTAGATTCATACGGCTTCGCTCTCGGTCTTTATCAGCGACCAATTGACAAAGCACACACAACTTTCAGCCATGGATTACTCTTCTTTCTCGTACACCACGTCAATTGATTCAAGTATGTCCGAAACATCCTCAAAAGCCTCGGAGCTTCCTCGAGACATTCTGCTCTCGATATTCTCCCGTCTGGACATGCCCTCGCGGGCCCGCAGTCTCTGTGTCAACAAGGAGTGGTTTCGAACGGGGAGCGACTCTTCTCTATGGCAGTCAATTGACATTCCTCGGAAGATGGCTCACCGGGTTTGGGACTACGAGCTCGGCGTCATGCTGCGACGCGCGGGTGCAGGAAACGTCGACTCTCTCCAGCTCTCTGGCTCCGGAATTACCGGAAAGTCGCTCATCAACATCATTCGTGTAAGTTCACCGAATTCCCTTACGTGCCTCTTTTCGTTGCCACGTAATCTGACAGATCGCGGCAATCCAGTTGGCAATGAAAATATTTAGAATTGTGAAATTCTGAAACATCTAAACCGACGTTATGCTTCGCGTTTCGTTCTGCTGTCCTTTTTGTTTTGCAGACCAAGGCACTGGCTCCCAGCGTCACGGAGATTTCGGTCGACCATTGCTGCAACTTGAAAGGCTGCGACATCTTGGCTTTCCTTCAGGCTATTACGCCATCGCAACCCTCCGCCTCCACCTCCTCGGCACCAGCACCAGCAGTAGTTTATAATCGGTATGGTTATCAACGTTCCGCGGCACCAGCGTCAGCACCAGCTTCATCTCTCATCCAGAGCTTCCGAATGGACGGCTGTAAATGCGCCACGGTGGCAGAGGTGGACGCAATCCGGTCGCACGTGCGACAACTCGATGTGTCGCAGTGCGGGTGCGGTCGCATATCCTGCTTGAAGCACTGCGAGCAGCCGCGGTGCCCGGGCCTCTGTCCGCGCTGCTCGGACGTGTTTGATGATTCCGGCCTCAAGTGCGGAGCCTGCACGCGTCCTCGAAACCCCCGCCAGGTAGATTATACCTAACCCTGATTGTTTATTTATTTGTCGCTGAAACCCTGATTTCCAACAGACCTAGCTGCGTTTCGAATTGGTTTCAGCGTGAAATACCCACTAACTTCGTCCTCGCATTTCCGTCTTGAATATGATTTCCTTCAGGCGATGCGAGTCCAGATTCAGCGGATTCACGCCATCTTGGGTGGTGGCGAGGCGGCACGCACCAGGTGGACCGACGTGCGGTCTGGCGTTGTCACTGTCAGGATGTAAAAGCTGATTATTTAACTAGAACGCGTCGCGTAGGAATAAGGCACATGCCGTCTTCAATAGTGTCTTGTACATTTTCTCGTCAAGTAGGTCAGGATACTTGGTGTTCCAATTATACAGATGTTAGCATTTAATAATCTCATAATTGCAATTGAGGGGTCTTCAAGCGTGAATCTTGCTTCCCGTCATAGCACGGAAGGAACACAATTGGTTCACAGATGATTGATGTGCTCAATGTCGAGCCACAACGCGCAAACCTAGGCCTGACGACGACCCCAGTCGCCATGGCGCTTCTGCTGCCGGAGTGCGTCGTGTGCGTGTCGGAATTCGACGACGACTCCACCGTGCCGCGTGTCCTCACGTCCTGCGGCCACTCTCTCTGCGCCACGTGTATAACCGCGATCGCCGCGCCGTGGACCCTCCCCGCGTCCGCTTCCGCTAGTTCTTCCGCTACCCCCGCGAACGCCTTGATTCCCCCTTCTGGCCCAGCTTCAGCTCTCCCCTCCGCTTCCGCTCCCGCTGCTTCCGCTCCTTCCGCAGCCGCGGCTAGCGCCACGTCTTTGATCGTGCGGTGCCCAGAATGCTCCGTGCGTTCGCGCTCCGCGAACGGATGCGTGGACGGATTTCTCAAGAATATCGAGCTTTTAAGATTGCTTCACGCGATCCGCAGCTCGAGTCGCAACGAAACGACCGGCGATTCTGACGCAGGCATTAAGAAGCAAGCGGAAAGCGGTAGTGAAGTCAGCGGCGTTAGGCAGAACAGCAGGCTTCGAAGCATCAGCAAAAAGGGTACTTTCCGGCACGCGAAATTAGGGTTACCGACGGAGCGCGAGGCTAGTTGCAGTGGCGACGCGTCTACGCCGCAGCAGGCACGAGATTGTGATAATGGCGCGGGTAGCAGGTATAGAAGATATCAGTCGGAACGGGAGTGGCTTCTGGGACGGACTGCAGACACCGACCATAGAGCAGCTAATGAAGCGCGTAATAACGAAGGAGGGCGTGACAATAAAGGGGGCGGCCATAACGGAGGGGGTGACAATGAAGGAAGGGTTGAGGACGAAGAGGGTAGAGCAGATGATACAGGTGGTGGTAGTAACGAAGCAGGGGGCCAGCTGGGAAGAAATCAGGAGAGTGACAATAGTGAAGGGGGCGAGGCACACAGGGATGAGAGAAAGGATGGGCCAGAGAGATCCGAACTGGGAGATCGAGGGTCAGGTTCAGTTGATGAGCGGTCAGGATCGAATGTCGCGAGATCGGAGTTGGGTGGTGCGAGTGAGATGGTGCTGCTACACGAAGTGGCGGCACATCGTGACAATGTAACGGCTGTTGCGGTTACCAGCGACTCGTCTCTGCTCTTTACCGCTTCATTTGACAAGACCGTGCGCATGTGGTCCCTCTCGGTATGTGCATGCATGGTGGTCCCTCCCGGTATGTGCATGCATGGTGGTCCCTCCCGGTATGTGCATGCATGGTGGTCCCTCCCGGTATGTGCATGCATGGTGGTCCCTCCCGGTATGTGCATGCATGGTGGTCCCTCCCGGTATGTGCATGCATGGTGGTCCCTCTCGGTATGTGCATGCATGGTGGTCCCTCCCGGTATGTGCATGCATGGTGGTCCCTCCCGGTATGTGCATGCATGGTGGTCCCTCCCGGTATGTGCATGCATGGTGGTCCCTCCCGGTATGTGCATGCATGGTGGTCCCTCCCGGTATGTGCATGCATGGTGGTCCCTCCCGGTATGTGCATGCATGGTGGTCCCTCCCGGTATGTGCATGCATGGTGGTCCCTCCCGGTATGTGCATGCATGGTGGTCCCTCCCGGTATGTGCATGCATGGTGGTCCCTCCCGGTATGTGCATGCATGGTGGTCCCTCCCGGTATGTGCATGCATGGTGGTCCCTCCCGGTATGTGCATGCATGGTGGTCCCTCCCGGTATGTGCATGCATGGTGGTCCCTCCCGGTATGTGCATGCATGGTGGTCCCTCCCGGTATGTGCATGCATGGTGGTCCCTCCCGGTATGTGCATGCATGGTGGTCCCTCCCGGTATGTGCATGCATGGTGGTCCCTCCCGGTATGTGCATGCATGGTGGTCCCTCCCGGTATGTGCATGCATGGTGGTCCCTCCCGGTATGTGCATGCATGGTGGTCCCTCCCGGTATGTGCATGCATGGTGGTCCCTCCCGGTATGTGCATGCATGGTGGTCCCTCCCGGTATGTGCATGCATGGTGGTCCCTCCCGGTATGTGCATGCATGGTGGTCCCTCCCGGTATGTGCATGCATGGTGGTCCCTCCCGGTATGTGCATGCATGGTGGTCCCTCCCGGTATGTGCATGCATGGTGGTCCCTCCCGGTATGTGCATGCATGGTGGTCCCTCCCGGTATGTGCATGCATGGTGGTCCCTCCCGGTATGTGCATGCATGGTGGTCCCTCCCGGTATGTGCATGCATGGTGGTCCCTCCCGGTATGTGCATGCATGGTGGTCCCTCCCGGTATGTGCATGCATGGTGGTCCCTCCCGGTATGTGCATGCATGGTGGTCCCTCCCGGTATGTGCATGCATGGTGGTCCCTCCCGGTATGTGCATGCATGGTGGTCCCTCCCGGTATGTGCATGCATGGTGGTCCCTCCCGGTATGTGCATGCATGGTGGTCCCTCCCGGTATGTGCATGCATGGTGGTCCCTCCCGGTATGTGCATGCATGGTGGTCCCTCCCGGTATGTGCATGCATGGTGGTCCCTCCCGGTATGTGCATGCATGGTGGTCCCTCCCGGTATGTGCATGCATGGTGGTCCCTCCCGGTATGTGCATGCATGGTGGTCCCTCCCGGTATGTGCATGCATGGTGGTCCCTCCCGGTATGTGCATGCATGGTGGTCCCTCCCGGTATGTGCATGCATGGTGGTCCCTCCCGGTATGTGCATGCATGGTGGTCCCTCCCGGTATGTGCATGCATGGTGGTCCCTCCCGGTATGTGCATGCATGGTGGTCCCTCCCGGTATGTGCATGCATGGTGGTCCCTCCCGGTATGTGCATGCATGGTGGTCCCTCCCGGTATGTGCATGCATGGTGGTCCCTCCCGGTATGTGCATGCATGGTGGTCCCTCCCGGTATGTGCATGCATGGTGGTCCCTCCCGGTATGTGCATGCATGGTGGTCCCTCCCGGTATGTGCATGCATGGTGGTCCCTCCCGGTATGTGCATGCATGGTGGTCCCTCCCGGTATGTGCATGCATGGTGGTCCCTCCCGGTATGTGCATGCATGGTGGTCCCTCCCGGTATGTGCATGCATGGTGGTCCCTCCCGGTATGTGCATGCATGGTGGTCCCTCCCGGTATGTGCATGCATGGTGGTCCCTCCCGGTATGTGCATGCATGGTGGTCCCTCCCGGTATGTGCATGCATGGTGGTCCCTCCCGGTATGTGCATGCATGGTGGTCCCTCCCGGTATGTGCATGCATGGTGGTCCCTCCCGGTATGTGCATGCATGGTGGTCCCTCCCGGTATGTGCATGCATGGTGGTCCCTCCCGGTATGTGCATGCATGGTGGTCCCTCCCGGTATGTGCATGCATGGTGGTCCCTCCCGGTATGTGCATGCATGGTGGTCCCTCCCGGTATGTGCATGCATGGTGGTCCCTCCCGGTATGTGCATGCATGGTGGTCCCTCCCGGTATGTGCATGCATGGTGGTCCCTCCCGGTATGTGCATGCATGGTGGTCCCTCCCGGTATGTGCATGCATGGTGGTCCCTCCCGGTATGTGCATGCATGGTGGTCCCTCCCGGTATGTGCATGCATGGTGGTCCCTCCCGGTATGTGCATGCATGGTGGTCCCTCCCGGTATGTGCATGCATGGTGGTCCCTCCCGGTATGTGCATGCATGGTGGTCCCTCCCGGTATGTGCATGCATGGTGGTCCCTCCCGGTATGTGCATGCATGGTGGTCCCTCCCGGTATGTGCATGCATGGTGGTCCCTCCCGGTATGTGCATGCATGGTGGTCCCTCCCGGTATGTGCATGCATGGTGGTCCCTCCCGGTATGTGCATGCATGGTGGTCCCTCCCGGTATGTGCATGCATGGTGGTCCCTCCCGGTATGTGCATGCATGGTGGTCCCTCCCGGTATGTGCATGCATGGTGGTCCCTCCCGGTATGTGCATGCATGGTGGTCCCTCCCGGTATGTGCATGCATGGTGGTCCCTCCCGGTATGTGCATGCATGGTGGTCCCTCCCGGTATGTGCATGCATGGTGGTCCCTCCCGGTATGTGCATGCATGGTGGTCCCTCCCGGTATGTGCATGCATGGTGGTCCCTCCCGGTATGTGCATGCATGGTGGTCCCTCCCGGTATGTGCATGCATGGTGGTCCCTCCCGGTATGTGCATGCATGGTGGTCCCTCCCGGTATGTGCATGCATGGTGGTCCCTCCCGGTATGTGCATGCATGGTGGTCCCTCCCGGTATGTGCATGCATGGTGGTCCCTCCCGGTATGTGCATGCATGGTGGTCCCTCCCGGTATGTGCATGCATGGTGGTCCCTCCCGGTATGTGCATGCATGGTGGTCCCTCCCGGTATGTGCATGCATGGTGGTCCCTCCCGGTATGTGCATGCATGGTGGTCCCTCCCGGTATGTGCATGCATGGTGGTCCCTCCCGGTATGTGCATGCATGGTGGTCCCTCCCGGTATGTGCATGCATGGTGGTCCCTCCCGGTATGTGCATGCATGGTGGTCCCTCCCGGTATGTGCATGCATGGTGGTCCCTCCCGGTATGTGCATGCATGGTGGTCCCTCCCGGTATGTGCATGCATGGTGGTCCCTCCCGGTATGTGCATGCATGGTGGTCCCTCCCGGTATGTGCATGCATGGTGGTCCCTCCCGGTATGTGCATGCATGGTGGTCCCTCCCGGTATGTGCATGCATGGTGGTCCCTCCCGGTATGTGCATGCATGGTGGTCCCTCCCGGTATGTGCATGCATGGTGGTCCCTCCCGGTATGTGCATGCATGGTGG